GTTCCGAAAACCAATCGTGAGTGGCGCTAGCTGCGCCCTTGCACGGTGCGAGCTCTCGCGTAGATTATCATGGCTCATCCCCCGCGAGACATGGTAGCTCGTTCACGATTGGCGGTCGCGCTCCTGCTCCTAATCTCGACCGCCTTCGCCGTCTCGAGCGCCGCTACGGCAGCCGAATTTCCCTCCTCCTCTCTGAGCAGCAGCGGCGATGGCGAAAGCATTCGCAAAAGCGTTGGCGAAAGCCGTGGTCGCGGGCGTGCGCTGGCGGGAACGGTAACGCCGCTGGCGACGTGCTCGTCGTCGACGCTCGCCGGATTCACGTCGTCCGTCGCCCTCGGCTCAAAGTACGCTTCTATCTCTACTGTTAGAAGCCGCTTAGTGCCTCCGACGACTATCTAGTCGCGAGTAGAAAGTCACCTGAAAATGCGGTTCACGTCGTCAGGCTACCTCGGATCGAAGTACGATTCTATCTCTATGATGCGCGTCTGCCGTCGATTTTTATTCTGAGACGACCTAAAAGTCGCAGCAGTCGTCGTACCCCGATATATTGTCAGAGGGCGCCGGACGACCTAAAATGAGGTTGACGTCGTCCGTCGTCCGTCGCCCTCGGCTCAACGTACGCTTCTCCCTCGTCTCGTACTACTTGATAGACGATTTTTTTTAGGCGTCTCAAATGCATCTCGTCTCCCTTGGACCGTTTTTAAGGCTCAACGTACGGAAAAGTCGTCCACGTCAGCAAGTGATTTTTGAGTCGACTAAAAAATCACCTATGGAAAAGACGTCCACGTCAGCAGCGCATCATTCGGCGGGAGCATTGTAACGGCTTCTGTCACTAGAACGGGCGTCGATTTTGTTGTCTTGTTTTAAAACGACTCAAAGTCGTTTTCGTGCTGAATGCATTGGTTGGACCCTCCCCTCCTCCCCTCCTCCCCTCCCTCCCCCCCCCCCTCCCCCCCCCCCCCCCCCCCCGGCCCTCCCAGCATGAAGCTCCACTGGAAAGCCACAACGGCTGCACGGGTCGCTGCTGCTTCCGGCTGGTTCAGCGTCACATTCCCCCTCCCACCTCCCCCTTCCCCCACTCCCCCCTTCCCCCTCTCCCTCTCCCGCCCTCCCAGCATGAAGCTCCACTGGAAAGTCACTACTGGAACAACCCTGGAGCTGGCAGTGACGGCCACCGGGGCCGCCGCTACCGGCTGGTTCAGCGTCGCGTTTTCCATCCCTCTCCCCCTTCCCCCACTCCCCCCTCCCCCCTTTCCCATCCCCCCTCCCCTCCCCCCCCCCCCACTCCCCCCTTTCCCATCCCCCCTCCCCTTCCCCCTTCCCCCCCCTCCCCCCCCCCCTCTACTCAGCATGAAGCTCCATTGGAAAGTCACAACCACCCCGACCTTGGAGCTTGCAGTAACGGCCACCGGGGCCGCCGCCACCGGCTGGTTCAGCGTCGCGTTTTCCAAGAATGGCGGCATGGTGACGTCAGACGCCGTCATCGCGAACCAGGGCGGCTCGCCCGTTGCTGTCAACACCTACGCGATTACGAGCTACTCATCGGTTAAGACCACCACGGCGTTTACTGCGGGGAGCAAGGCGTTTACGGGGGGAACAGCTGCTACGATGAAGTGAGTTTCAGGCCTTTCTGTACCCGTTATTAGCCAGGAGTCTATTTTTGAGGCGCCTCAAAAATAGACTCCTCTACAATGAAGTGAGGTTCAGGCCTTTCTGTAGCCGTTATTAGCTACGCTGTCAACACCCACCTACGCCATCACGAGCTACGCGTCGGTTAAGACCACCACCACATTTACTGCGGGGAGCAAGGCGTTTACTTCTGGGACGACAGCCACAATGAAGTGAGTGCAGGACCTTAATGTACTCGTTATAAGCTACTCTGTTGGCACCTACGCCATCACGAGCGATTCGTCGGTCAAGACCACCACTGCATTCACTGCGGGGAGTTTCTGTACCCGTTATTAGCTGCTCTGTCATCGACTACATGGTCATGAGCTACTCTTCGGTTAAATCCGCCACAGCTTTTAATGCGGGCAGCAAGGCGTCCAGTCCTGGGATGATGACTGCAAGGGAGTGAGTGTAGGTGACCTTGTACCCGTTATTAGCTGCTCTGTTAAGTGCGGGGAGCAATGCGTTTTCCGCAAGGACGACCGCTACAATGAAGTGAGAGTAGGGCCTTACTGTACCCGATAAGAGCTACTCCTTTATCAGCCACCCTGCAATTCCATCTCCCTCTTATATAGCATGCGTTGCAAAATGTTCATTTTCCCCTTCACCGAATCTGCTCTTAACCAGGTTCACTCGCTCCCTCATTATCTTCACTCTCACTTATGCCGAATCTACCTATATCAGGTTCACTCGCACTACGGGCGACGGCGGAGTGGCTCCAGTCAACGTGAAGGGCAGCAACCGGCTCGTGTGGGCGTACTCCAACAGCGGCGCCAAGACCGTCGCTTACCACGGCTCGCACTAGTGAGTGGTGCTTGGCCTGTTGCCGACTGTCAGGGGGTCTTGTCATTGGACTCAGAGGTCATGTGAGGGGCAGCAACCGGCTCGTGTGGGCGCACTCCAACAGCGGCGCCAAGACCGTCGCTTACCACGGCTCGCACTAGTGAGTGGTGCTTGGCCTGTTGCCGACTGTAAGGGGGTCTTGTCATTGGACTCAGAGGTCATGTGAGGGGCAGCAACCGGCTCGTGTGGGCGCACTCCAACAGCGGCGCCAAGACCGACGCGTACCATGGCTCGCACTAGTGAGTGCAAAAAAGAGTCGTGTCATGCTGCTATCAAGTCAACTGCATGTGAGGGGCAGCAACCGGCTCGTGTGGGCGTACTTCACCCGTGGCTCCAAGTCCGTCGCTTACCATGACTCACCTGTGCAATGTGCATTTCCCCCCCCGTTCCCCCCTCCCCCTTCCCCCCTCCTCCCCTTTCCCCCCTGTCCCCCTCCCCCCCCACCAGCGGAACCCTCACTGTTGACTTCTCCTGCAACGGCTCCCCCATCGCCCCCCACCTCCCCCTCCGCCCACCACGACCCCCGCCCCCCCTCCCCCCACTGGCGGAGCTACAAACCCCCCTCCTCCCCCCACTGGCGGAGCTACAAACCCCCCTCCTCCCCCCACTGGCGGAGCTACAAACCCCCCTCCTCCCCCCACGGGCGGCGCTACAGACCCCCTCCCCCTCCCCCCACGGGCGGCGCTACAGACTCCCCTCCCCCTCCTCCCTCTGGCGGCGCTACAGCTGCCCCGCCTCCGCCTCCCCCTCCTTCCTCATTTGCCACGGGTCGAGCCTGCCCCGCGTCTACCCTCCCCGGATACGCCTTCCAACTCGCCCTTCGTCGGCCCAAGTGAGTGCCAGATGCCGGATGCTGTCTCTTGGCCACCAGGCTGCGCTTTCTGTCGTTAAGTAGTTTTTGACAAGTTGCTTACTCACCAGCAGTTCTTCTGAGGCTGCCTGTTCTCAAAACGGTCACTCGTGCCCACCAGGCTGCCCACCAGGCTGCCCACCAGGCTGCCCACCAGGCTGCCCACCAGGCTGCCCACCAGGCTGCCCACCAGGCTGCCCACCAGGCTGCCCACCAGGCTGCCCACCAGGCTGTGCTTCCTGTCTGCCGCCACCTTTTCTTCCGCCTGATGCATATGCTTGCTGACTTGGGGAGTAGTAGACTGTTGCTGCCTTGGGGAGTGGTAGACTTTTCAGGCGCCTCAAATTAAAAGTCGCCTTGCTTCCCTTTCTGTTGCATGCCTATGTTGGGACTTTTGAGGCGCCTCAAATGTTGCCGATGTTGCCGATGGCCCAACCTTCTTCCATCTTCTACCTTTTGCCCCCCCCCCCTCCCCCTCCCCAGTCATCCTGCACTGGGTGCTGGTGTCAGCCACCTAGGTGGACATGGCAATAGAAGCCAAGGCAGCAGGCAGGGCCAAGGGCGGGTGGATATCCCTCGGCTGGACCCCCAAGGGAAAGATGTCTCCAGCCTTTCTTTCTCTCCCCATTGCTCCGTTAACCTCCACCCCCGCCCCTCCCCCTCCCCCTCTCCCCCGCTCCCTCCTCCCCCCCTCTCCAGTCTCATCCTGCACTGGGTACCAGTGTCAGCCACCCAGGTGGACATGGCAATTGAGGCCAAGGCAGCCGGCAGGGCCAAGGGCGGGTGGATATCCCTCGGCTGGTCCCCCAAGGGAAAGATGTCTCCAGCTGATGCCGTTATCGGGAACATGGTTGGCGGGCTTGTGATGCCGTATGTTATTAAGGGGTACAAAATGAGCAAGCTGCAGCCGACGTCGGCGTTCAAGATTGGGGATAATGCTGCAACAGTTACAACCGCGACAAATGACACCATTATCACGTGAGTGATGCGTTATAAGGCATTATCAGGAGGAATGCGTGTTGTGGCATTATAAGGGGTACTGGATGAGCAAGCCGCAGCCCTAATCCCTGGGTTTCAGAGTTGCGGCTGCTACAGAGAACACCCTTATAATGTAACTGATCCGTTATAAGGTTTTCAGTAATCAGTGATTCGTTACAAAGACAACCACTATAAATAGAGGGATGCGTTATAAGGACATCAGGATTTCATGTAACTTGTGTGGAGCTGTTCTTCCTGTGGAACATCTACCATCAACATCTCGCCATCATCATCTTGCCATCATCATACTTTCCTTTGGCCCCTGTGCTGTGATTACCGCACATATCTCCACAGGTTCTCTCGCTATAAGAACTCTGGGGTGTACGCCCGCTTCCCCATGGTTGGCCTCACCAAGCTCATCTGGGCCTTCTCCAACTCCGGCTCCCCCAGCCTCGCCTTCCACGGCGACAGCTAGTGAGTGCCACACATGCATTTGGCATATTATTATACTGCTCGTTTCCTATGGCCTCCCCCGACGGCCTTCTCCAACTCCGGCTCCCCCAGCCTCACCTTCCACGGCGACTGCTAGTCAGTGCTCATCCCTTTCACTTGATTCTCTACTTCCAAAATAGACGTTCGCCCCCTCCTTTTTATTTTGCTTTTTCTTTTTGTTTATGAAATCACTTCGGCTTTCCCCATGTGCCTTCAATCGTTTGCCCCCCTCCCTGCGCTTTCTTTTGGTGTCCTGCTTGTCTACAGTGGCACTGCCAAGGTTGACTTTTCTTGCCGGTATGCTCCCTCCAGCAAGGCAGAGGAGGATTACGAAGACGAGGATGATGATAATAATGATGACAATCAGACAAGGAGGAAGTAAAGTGAAAGCTGGGTGGCAATTGGAAGGTGTTTTTGCTTTTCTCGTGACAAGTGCGTGTAGCATGGCACTGACGCGGTGCATCTGCCAGTTGGACATGAGGAATGGAATTAAGACTGATGTCGAATGTAAAGCATTGGTTTGCCATTTGTTTGCACTCATTGTGTATGGGCTTTGTTGTGTACCACGCATTTCGAAAATGAATGTGCATTTCCCCCTCGCAAAATTTGCACTTCTGCTATCGAGAATTTCGAGAACGAATCAGGAGTGCATTGCGCGACATCCACCACAGACCCACAGGCAAGACCAAAATCAAATTACACCGTGGCGAAATCACCAAATTCCCACCCAATCACGTGCTTCGTTCTTTCCATACCACCTCGCTAAACTCGGCAACACCTAACTACTGTACCTCAACGGGTTCAGGGTTTTTTTTTCAATCTGGCATGGCGGCTTGTCATTTTTCACAGAGGGGACAGTTTCGTGGCTGAGCGGCTCGGCTCGGTTCGTTGGACAATGTCTCACATTGGAAATTCGCGACTCGTCGCAGCACGCTCATTCCATCTTGGTGCATCACTCGCAGGCACACTCGCACGCACGTACGTACACCGTGAATTGTCCGTCAGAGGGAATTCAACAGTTGCACCAAACAAAATTGGGAGGAGTTGGCATAACTTGGAACATAGGGCCCTGGTTTGGTGCTGCTGTGCTGCTGACCCAGCCTCCCCTCCCCTCCCCGCCCCGTCCCCTAGCCCTGCACGATGCACATCGTCAGAAAGCCAAGCAGTTAGCATGTTCATGTTCGTTCGTTCGATCATGTCGCCGGATGCAGTGTTCGGCTCTCCTTGTCTCTCTCGCGCGTTCACCTCACCCGCAGTTCTTTTAGCGTTGCCGTCCTCCCTCGCAAGTTAACGCCTCCCCCTCGCGAATTCTTATTTTTCTAAGCCGACACTGCTCCCATCGCTGCGTCGGATGACTCGCGCCGACCCTAGAGGCACCTTGTGTGCACAGATCACCCTCGCTGGAGTGTGACTACAGGTTCCTGCCTGACGAGATTTTGCTTTGCAGACAGTGGTGAACGAAAGCAGCCGACTTTTGAGGCGCCTCAAAAGCCGTTCGCTGGAGTGTGTCTACTGGTTACTGTCGGACGAAATTTGCAGACAGTGGTGAGAGAAAGTAGCCGGCCGCCGGTCAAGGTTTAGTTTTGAGACGCCTCGAAAGTAGCCGGCCGCCAGTCAAATACGGCTTCAAAGGAAGGCGAGGCCCTTTTGCAATTCAAGGGGAATAGTAGCGTGGCATATTAGCGTAGCCTCCCGCGCTCCGAGATTAGCGGGGAATAGATTCTAGGGGCGGTAAGAAGTCTATTTTTGAGGCGCCTCAAAAATAGACTCCTCACGCATGGATTCTATATAGAGCGATTCTAGGGGCGGTAAGCCAGTCGGATACTCACGCGGCTTCGGTGTACGGCAACTGGACCACCCTCATCCTAGCTGAATAATCTACGAGAAATCTTATTTCCAGTCTTTATTTTTTATGCCACGGTTCACTAGCGAGCAGCACTGTCGACTACACTAGCACGAGACCATGATCCAAGCGGGTGATTATCCCGTGCCGTCCCCTTCCCGAGACCCCATCCATCGCGCCTCTGCTCGGATGTCTGAAGCCTTATCAGTAAGATCGGACGCCTCGTCACGAAGAACGAACCTCGAAGCCTCAGCTTCGTCTGCATGGCACAGGAATGGGCATTTCAATTATAATCTCTCTGTAAATCGACGGTGTTTCCCAGGGTCCGACCAGCGGGCTATAGAATCGAAGAAAGAGAGTCAGCGGAAAGCCGCTTACCCATGTCGCCTCGACGTCCTCGTATTTACGTACGCGTTAATCTGCACCGCCTTTTCCCAGCCGCTAGCCGCAGCGGCCGCCATTCCGGCGGGAAACACGGCTGCAGCTGACGTGGCAGCCGCGCAAGTGGCGGCGGCGGCAGAGGCAGCGGATGCGGAAGGGGCGGCAATGGCGGCGAGTTTCGGGTGGCACGGGGACCCACTGGCGCATTTGGACGGTAGCGAGGGGGCGGCGTTCGTTGCGCCGTGTTTGCCGTCCGGGCTGGCGGGATTCAGCCACTCGGTTATTCTGTCGGAGAGCGGGTGAGTGGAGGTGTGAATCTAGTGAGCGGGTGACGCAAGGTGACGTGACAATAACGAGCGGGAGAGTGTGTGTGACACGAGGGTGAGCTGGGAGCCATGTTTGTCGTCCGGGCTGGCGGGACTGAACCACTCGTTGACTTTTGAGTCGACTCAAAAGTCACCTTGCTTCCTATTTTTGAGGCGTCTAAAAAAGAGGCGTCTCAAAAAGAGGCGTCTCAGAAATGGACTCCTCACAGGCTGGTGAGGAGACTGGGACTCGGCCAGTCGGCCGTTGCGTCGGAGAGTGGGTGGGTGACTCAAGGGAGGGGTGTTCAATCGTTGGACTTCCGAGCTTTTTTTTTCAAACAAAATAGTTGCTGGGGAATGGGTCCCAGAATGGCTTATATCGGGGTCTTCGGCGTCCCCTCTCTTTCCCCCCCCAGCCTCATCCTGCACTGGGTGCGCCGCAACCTCTTGTTTATGGAGTTCGCCCTCGAAGCACGCTACGGCAGCGGAGCACTCAACCCCTTCCCCTTTCCCCTTACCCCCCCGCCCCGCCCCCCCCCCCCCCCCCCCCCCCCCCCCCACCAAAAACTCTCTTCCCACTCTCCCCCCCACCAGCCTCAGCCCGCGGTGGGTGCGGCGCAGCCTCCTCTACATTGAGTTTGCCCTCGAGGCCCGCTTCGGCAGCGGAGCCGAGAATGGGTGGATCGCGAGGGGCGGTCGCACGACGGCAGGATGGTCCCCAGCTTGGCCATCATTGGGGTCTCTGGCTGTGCCCTCGTCCCACCCCCCACTCCCTGACTCCCTCCCTCTCCCACCCCTCTCCCCTCCCCTCTCCCCTCCCCTCTCCCCTCCCCCCCCTCCCACCTTCCCTCCCCTCCCAGCCTCATCCTGCACTGGGTGCGCCGCAACCTCTTGTTTATGGAGTTCGCCCTCGAAGCAAGATTCGGCAGCGGCGCAGAGAACGGGTGGATCGCCGTGGGGTGGTCGCACGACGGCAGGATGGTCCCCAGCTTGGCTATAGTCGGCTCCCCGGCCGGCATTGCCGCCCCTTCCCGGGCTCCGGGCGGCAGAGGGACCGGTCCGGGCGGCATGGCTGGCGTGGCGGCGTATGCTATTAGCGGGTATAGGAGGGAAGATGCGAGGCAATTGGTGGGGGGAGAGGGGAGTGGGGAGAAGGGGAGGAGAGTGGAGAGGAGGGGTGGAGCATTTACACGTCAGCACGAGGGTCTACTGTGATGCGGTGAGCTAGTGGAGGATGAGTCAGCTGTGACACATTATGAGTCAGCTGTGACAGATTATGAGTCAGCTGTGACAGATTATGAGTCAGCTGTGACAGATTATGAATCAGCTGTGACAGATTATGAGTCAGCTGTGACACACTATGAGTCAGCTCTGGTCTCCCTCAACTACCCCTTTTATTACTTCTGCCTCACATTCTTACCCTCCCCTTTCTTACCTTTCTCTCAACTTGCCGTTTTTGCGAACACTACCTCACACCTCCCCGTGCTCCCCCCCAACTTTCGCCCCTCTCCCCTCGCCTCCCCCCACTCCTCCCCTTTCTCCCCCCTGCTTCCACTCTCCTCCCCTTCCATCTCCAATACCCCCCGCCCCCCCCTTCCCCCTCCCCTTTCTCCCCCTGCTCCCATTCTCCTCCCCTCCCCTCCCCTCCCCACTCTTCCCCCAACCAGCTCCTCTCGCACCCACCCCCCCGCCCTTCTTCCCCATTCTTCCCCATGAATTTTGAGTCGACTCCAATCAAACTACTCTTATTCTTCTCCCCTCCCCTCCCATCCTCCCTCTTCCCCAACCCAGCTTCTCTCGGAGCCTCCTCTCCAACCCGCCCGTCCTCAATACAAGCGCATCCGTTATAAGCACGAAATACGACCAGCACCCCTCTAGCGAGCCGACGTACAGCATGAGCCACCATGTGATCTGGGCCCACTCCGACCGTCAGGAGGACGCTCTGCGATACCACGGCAGGAGCAGGTGGGTGGGGGGCTTCGTTACAAGCACTTCTGTCATATGAATTCCCGTTATAAGCACAGCCGTGTACGGGCATACAGCATGAGCCACCATGTGATCTGGGCCTACTCGAACCAACAAGATGCGCGGCCAACCGATTGCAAAAACAGGTGGGTGCTGCTTCTAGAACACAAAAATTATGATGATGATAATAATAATTTCAACACTAATAACAATAATAACAACCCCCCCCCCCCCCCCCCTTCCCCTCCACCCCCCTTTCTCCTCCCCCTCTCCCTCCCCCCTCTGACCCACCGTCCAGAGGCTTCTGCTTGTCGACTACATGTGTGAGCTGCTGGCTTCCCAGGCTGACCTGCCAGCCCCCCCAACTCTTCCCCCTCTCCGCCCTCCCTATCCCCCCTCTCCCTTCCCTATCCCCCCTCTCCCTTCCCTACCCCTCCTCCAGGGGCTCTCTCTTCGTCAACTTCATGTGCGAGCTGCTCGCTTCGCGCTTTTCTTCCCCCTCTTCCCCCTCTTCCCCCTCTTCCCCCTCTCTCCACCTCTCTCCCCTCCCCCCCCTCGTCACCTCTTCTCCCCTCCCTCCACTCCCCCCAGGGGCTCTCTCTTCGTATCTACATGTGCGAGCTGCTCGAATCTACCAGCCTCTCCTCACCGCCCTCCCCACCCTCTCTTCCCCCTCTGCTCTCTCTCCCCTCTTACCCCTCCCTCTCCTCCCTCCCTCCCCTGTCTCCCCTGTCTCCCCATTCCCATTCCCCAGGGGTTCGCTCTTCGTGGACTACATGTGCGAGCTGCTCGCCTCGCCCTCTAACACCTTCCGTCTCTCTCTTTAACCCTCCCCCCCCCCATCTTCAACTCCCGTCCCTCTGCATGCGTGTTCTACTCTCATTCCCCAGGGGCTCGATCTTCGTCGACTACATGTGCGAGCTGCTCGCCTCCCCTGCCAGGCTGGCCTGCCAGCCGTCCTCCCTGCCGGGCTACAGCTGCATGCTACAGCTGCAGGGAGACAGGTGAGCTACTGAAGTGTGCTGGTAGGCTGTGCCATTGCGTGGTAGCCAGCTACAGCTGCTGGCTACAGCAGCTGCCAGGCCTCAGGTGCGGTGTAGCTGCTGCTGCTGTAGCCGGCAGCTACCGTGCGGTGTTTAGACATTCTGCACTCAAGGCACGCATTCTGACATTCTGCATGGTGCGTGCTTTGTGCGAGGAAAGGTTGTGTCTCTGCTATTGCGTTGAGTGCTGCAACCCTGCCAGCCAGTCCTGCCAGCCTATCCTGCCACCGTGTCCGGCCAGCTGCCATCACATTCCACTGGCATCTCAGCCCCTTGGCCACCCTGCAATGGCATGTCAAATGGATGACCATTCTCCATCTCATCCCCCGCCCCCTGACCTCCCTCCTCACTCCAGCTTTACTTTCCTCTGGCATCTCAGCCCCTTGGCCACCCTGCGATGACATGTCAAATGGATGACCATCCTCCCCCTCTTCCCCCCCCCCCCCCCCCTTCCCCCCCGTTACATCCCCCCCTCCCCTCTCTCTCCAGCTTCACTCTCCACTGGCATCTCACCCCCTCCTCCCTCCTCCTCGCTGCTGACGTGGCAACCTCTGGTTGGGTCGCCGTCGGCTGGTCCAAGGACGGCAAGATGGCTGGCAGTGAGGCAGCCATTGGGAACCTGCCACGTGGCAGCAGCAGCATGAAGACAGGTGGCGGTGCTGACGTGTCAGGGAAGGAGGAGCAGCAGGCTGTGGGATCGTTCCTGATTGGTGGATACGAGAGAAGCGCCATCCGCTCGACTCTGAAGTTCACTGTGACTAATGCGAGTGTGACAACGACGACCAAAGGAAGGACTGTAATGAAGTGAGTGTGATTAATGGTGAGATAACTGATGAGAATAATTGATGAGAATAATTGAACTACCCCCCTCCCCTCAACCTTGCCTCCCACCAAGTGTTTCCCCCGAGGGGCATATAACTCAATTCTATGGTATCCCCTTGGGGAAGCCCATTTGCTCCACCTCACTTCCCCTTTTTCCTTGCATCTCTCACCACCCCTCACCATCCCTCACCACCTCTCACCATCTCTCACCATATCGCACCATCCCTCGTCTCCCTTCTTCCACACACCACCTAATCGCTCCCCCTGCGCCGCTATTCCCATTTTTCAGACGCCTCAAAAGTTTTAGGCGCCTAAAAATAGGACTCCACTGCCCCTCCCCTCCTGCCCCTCCCCTTCGCTGCCCCTCCCCTTTCCTGCCCCTCCCCTCTGCTGCCCCTCCCCACTGCCGCCCCTCCCCTCTGCTGCCCCTCCCTTCTGCCGCCCCTCCCCTCTGCCGCCCCTCCCCTCTGCCGCCCCTCCCCTCTGCTGCCCCTCCCCTCTGCCGCCCCTCCCCTCTGCCGCCCCTCCCCTCTGCTGCCCCTCCCCTCTGCCGCCCCTCCCCTCTGCTGCCCCTCCCCTCTGCCGCCCCTCCCCTCTGCCGCCCCTCCCCTCTGCTGCCCCTCCCCTCTGCCGCCCCTCCCCTCTGCTGCCCCTCCCCTCTGCTGCCCCTCCCCTCTGCTGCCCCTCACGCGCCTTTCTCTGCCCTTCCTTCCCCCATCTGTCTGTTCTGTAGGTTTGAGCGGCCACTAGCGAACGGGGAGCTGCCCCTCTCCTCGCAACCACCTAACCCTTCTCCCTTTCTCCCTTTCCCCTCCCTTTCCCCCTCTCCCCTCCTCTCCCCCCCCCAATCTCTCCTTACCCCCCCCTTGCTTGCTTCTTTTCCCCCCTCCCCCCTAAAACCTTTGTCTATCTCTCGCAGGTTTGAGCGGCCAATAGTGAACGGCGAGCTGCCCCTCTCCTCTGCTGACGTGGCAACCATCATCTGGGCGTACTCCGATGCAGATTCCAGGAAACTCACTTTCCACGGAAACAACAGGTGAGGCTCCCGGAAGCTTCCTGCTCAGTCAACCCACCGACCCCTTTGCATCAAGCTCTTGGTAAGAAAACTAAGAGGCAACACCAGGGGGGTCAGCGTCTGTCACTCTCTTGGAAGGGGAATCAATCACCCACGTTCTCTCTTATAACAGGGAGGATGTTTCAGGCCAAAGCAACCCCCCCCCTTCTCTCCCCATTTTCCATCCCCCTCTCCCCCCTCTCCCTCCTCCCTTCTCTTCTCAATCTTATCACAGGGAAATTGTTTGGAGTCCCAAACGCCCCCCCCCCCCCCCCCCCCCCCCCCCTTTCTTGGTCCCTCTTTTCACTTCTCCCCCCCACCAGGGGGTCGGTGGACATCAACCTCATCACAGGGGAGACAATCACCGCCTCCGCCCTACAGGAAGAATCTTCCAGGCTTTAACAACCCAACCACACTCAAACCCCCCCCCTCTCTCTGTCCCAATCCATTCCCCCCACCAGGGGATCGGTGGCCATCAATCTCATCACAGGGGAGTCAATCACCGCCTCTCCCTCCCCCTCCGCCTCCTCCTCCTCCTCGTCCTCTCCCCCCTTCAGCAAGCCGGCCATCATAGCCCATGCCATCCTCCTCATCGCCGCTTTCCTCGTCCTCTTGCCATCCGCCATCCTCGTCGCTCGCATATGCCTCGTGAACCTTCCTGGAAACGACGGTAATTACCATACCACTACCACTACCACTACCAGCAGCAGCAGCAGCAGCACCAGAGGCAGCAACAGTGGCTTTGGCAAAGTCACATTGGCTGGATTCATGCACACTGGGCCACTTCGGCTTGCTGAAGCCAATGCCCAGCTGGACGCCAGCATGGCTAGTTTCTCCCCAGCTGAGTCAGCCTCCTCGAATGCTGACATGGCAGGCTCACTAGGTGCCACATCAGCACAGGCAGCCCAGCAGCAGCAGGAGGATGGGCAGCTGCAGCAGAGCCGAGCATTCTGGTTCACATGGCACAAGTACCTGCAAGTGGCCGCTCTTGTCTGTATCTGCATCGGGTGCATCACGGCATTCGTCTCATCTGGGTCTCACGGCTTCAGTCACTCCCATGCGTGGGTCGGCATTGCCGTTCTCGTTCTTCTCCTCGTCTTCCAGCCACTCATTCTTTGCCTCCGGCCACCCAGAAATCGGAATGAAAGCAGCATCGACCAATGGTGCTTCACCGCGTGGACAAAGAGCACATGGCGCTGGGTGCACTGGACGGTTGGGATCACATCGTTGGTGATGGGATGGGCCAACATATTTTTGGGGATGAACCTCTATTTCAACTTCATCGGAAACGACCCATTTGTAAGCTGCCACTCCTTCAGTTTCACCCATTATCATATTTTGACTGCCATTTTCCACATTAATTGTGCCACTTGTGATTATTGCTCATTGCGTTTGTTACTTCATTGGAGGTCATAAACTCATGATTGCAATTGTCATTTGTGCTGCAGGGCCTTGAAGCGTTTTTAGGCATCATTATGGCGGTATTTGTGATCGTGTATATGCTCTTCGTATGTCGTGATAAGCTTGAAAAACGCAAATCGGAAGGGCCTCAGTTTAGTGTCTACGCTAGCATAGCATAATAGTTCCCCCTATACTTGATTTGACATGTTTTGTTGAATTGTAATTCTTACAATGTGTTGGGCGTGTCCCTTGATCCATTGTAATTCTTAGAATGTAAGTGTACCCACGTCCTCGTTCGTTTCACAGGGTCTGATTTGGTGCCTGCAGTTTCAAAGCGGTAAGCCCGGAAACCGATTTCCAAAGTTTTTCACCCCACATAACCGCAAACATTGTATGCGGAACCTACCCTTCGGACACGCCCTAAGTGATGCCAGTGATGCGACATTGCGAGGCACAAATCACGTTTCGTTCAGGTTTCGCCCGGCAGAACGAGCTTCGCAAGCCCTTCGGAATGTCCCCGTGCCACAAAGCAAGTGATGCTGCTGATGCGAACACGAGGAGCAATAAGCTGGTGGTAGTGTTCAGATAGCCTATTCGTCGAGAGCTCACGCCATGGCGAATCACACACATTTCCGCCACATTCACCATCGACGCGTCTTATTTCCTCTCCTCTCGCTCCTCCATCTGCTAGTTGTTCTTGTTACCCCGCATTCGCCGATTTCGCGTGCATTCGCCGCGACCCAAGATACGTTATCGAGGCAGGCCAAGGGCAGCGGCTACGCGCAGAGTCTCGGAAAAGGGATCTTTCCTGGAAGCTCCGAATCGGGCAATGGCGACCCGAGACTGCTTCAAGAGAGCCAATGGGCGACGGACAGCGGCGTGTTACAGGTGGCGCGCTGCCAGCCGTCCACGCTGGCGGGGTACACCCACTCCGCTCAGCTCTCCACCAGAGGGTGAGCGACACGTGGCAGGTGCTCTGAGGTTGCTTTGTTTTGCTTCTTCTTCTTCTTTCTCCTTTTTTCTCCTCCTCGTCGTCCTCCTGCCTGTGCCCTAACCTCGCACCCCCACACTCTCCCACACTCTCCCACACTCTCCCACACTCTCCCACACTCTTCCACTCTCTCACACTCGCTCACACTCTGCCACACTCCCCCCACTCCATCCCTCCTCTCCCCAGCCTCCTCCTCCACTGGACCGTACACCCTGCCACGTCATCAGTCCTCATGGCGCTGGAAGGCCAGCTGGGCAGCGGCGCGGACTCCGGCTGGCTTGCGATTGGCTGGTCGTGGGACGGGCGAATGGCAGGCAGCGACGCCGTGCTGGCGAATGTGGAAAACGGGGCGAATGTGGGCGGGGGAGGGCTGAGGGCGCCAGGGCCTCTCGTGGCGGTGCATATAGCGGGGTACTCTGTAGCGAGGATGCAGCAGATGGAGCACGGGCTGTCGATCAGCAAGAACTGGAGCGTCTCTGTGAATGCCAGGGGGTCGACTATTGTGACGTGAGTGGGGACGGGGGGGGGGGCTCATAATAGTGAGGCGAGGGGCAGGGATGTGAATGTCAAGGAGCAAAGAGGTCGTTTTCAGCAAGAACTGGAGTGTTGCTGTCAATGCAAGGGGAGTCGACTGTGGCGAGGTGAGTTGAAGGAAGGGGGTAATGTGCCTGGGCTTACAGTAGCGAGGCGCTGAGGGGAAGGATGATACTGCTATTCCATACCCGCGTGCACCCCCCTGCTATTCCATACCCTCATACAGCCCGCTGCTATCTCACCATACCCTCCCCCTGCACACCTGGTGCTAGGCCACAACGCCTCGTGTGCCCCCCTTCGTTTCCTCTCCCTGCTCCCCTCCCTGGAACCCTTTCCACGCTCCCTTCTCCCCTCTCTGCTCCCCCTTTTCACTCTTACAGCAGACTCTTCTCCCCCGTATCAGGGGATATCAGCTTCTGTGCCATCAGCTCTAGATGCCTCCATCAACATCATCATTCTCTGGGCGCGCGCACCCACTCCTCCAGCAACCCTCTCCTGTGCTTTCTCTCCCTGCTTTCCCCCTTATTCCCTCTCTTCCCTCTTGAGTCGACTCAAAAGTCTCCCCTTATTCCCTCTGTTCCTTTCACACATCAGCAGACGTCGCCTCTGTGCCTTGAGCTCTGGTTTGGGTGCCTCCAACATCGTTCTCTGTGCTCACTCCCCCAGCAGCCAGTGCCCTGTGCTTGCTCCTGTGCTCCTCTCTCCCCGCTTTGCCCTCTGCACCCCTCCCTGTTCACTCCCAGTTTCTCTCGCACGTCAGGAGACGTCGCCTCGGTGCCTTTAGCTCTGGATGCGTCCAACGTCATCATCTGGGCGCACTCCCCCAACAGCTCTCACACGCCTCTCTACCATGGGCCACACCGGTACAACCCCCGAATAAATCGTTTTTGAGAATTCTAAAAAATGACCCCCCTAGTATATCCTCCATGCGACTTTTTTTTTCACGGAGAACCCTGCCTTTGGTGTGTCCAACGTCATCATCTGGGCGCACTGCCCCAACAACTCTCACACGCCTATCTACCATGGGCCACACCGGTACAACCCCCGAATAAATCGTTTTTGAAATTTCTAAAAAATGATCCCCCTAGTATATCCTCCATGCGACTTTTTTTTTCACGGAGAACCCTGCCTTTGGTGTGTCCAACGTCATCATCTGGGCGCACTGCCCCAACAACTCTCACACGCCTCTCTACCATGGGCCACACCGGTACAACCCCCGAATAAATCGTTTTTGAGAATTCTAAAAAATGACCCCCCTAGTATATCCTCCATGCGACTTTTTTTTTCACGGAGAACCCTGCCTTTGGTGTGTCCAACGTCATCATCTGGGCGCACTGCCCCAACAACTCTCACACGCCTCTCTACCATGGGCCACACCGGTACAACCCCCCAATAAATCGTTTTTGAAAATTCTAAAAAATGACCCCCCTAGTATATCCTCCATGCGACTTTTTTTTTCACGGAGAACCCTGCCTTTGGTGTGTCCAACGTCATCATCTGGGCGCACTGCCCCAACAACTCTCACACGCCTCTCTACCATGGGCCACACCGGTACAACCCCCGAATAAATCGTTTTTGAAATTTCTAAAAAATGACCCCCCTAGTATATCCTCCATGCGACTTTTTTTTTCACGGAGAACCCTGCCTTTGGTGTGTCCAACGTCATCATCTGGGCGCACTGCCCCAACAACTCTCACACGCCCCTTTACCATGGGCCACACCGATACGACCCCCTAGTAAATCTTCTGTGCAACTTTCTTTCCCTAAGGACCCTTCCTTTGGTGCGTCCAACGTCATTCTCTGGGCGCACCCCCCCAAACTCACAGATACCTCTCTACCATGGGCCCTATCGGCACAATTCTCACTCACAACTCTTGCACACACCATTTCACATACACATGCACACACACAACTCCCAAACACGCACCTGCTCCCCATTCTCTGTTTCCGTTTCAGCTGCTATACCTCTCGATTTGTATTCGTCATCCTCTCCTGTTGCCCTCGCCATCTGTCCCCCCTCTCCCCTTCCCACCCTTTCCATATCGCCGTTCCCTCTCAGTGGTGCACTCTTTCTGGACTCCTCCTGCGCCTCTCCCCCCGCTCCCCTATGGCCCCTCCCCCACTCCTTTCCTCCCTCGGTGGTGCTCTCTTTAACTACACCCTCTCCCCTCTCTCCGTGCTGCACTCTTTCTGAGCTTCTCCTGCGCCCTCTCCTCCTCGCTGCCTTCCAGTGCCCCCACATGTGCCCCTTCCTCCCTCCCCTTCCTGCCTGTCCTGTTACTATTGCCCCATCCTTGCTTCTCACCCCCAATGCTGCACTCTTTCTGGGCTTCTCCTGCGCCCCCTCCTCCTCGCCGCCTACCAGTGCCCCCACATGGCTTGAGCAAAATATCCGCGCGGGTCAAATACCCGGACCCGAACCCGACTTTAGGGCAGGTCGGGTAATAGGATTCAGGAGAATTACCCGCCGGGTCGAATCCTGGTGCCCGGTCGGGTATTCAATACCATCTACCTGATTTGTTACCCGACCGAACGGGTACCGGGAACCCGATCCGGCGGGTAATCCTGACCCGAAGTCGGGTAAGTAGGTCTAGACATGGGCGTAAGTCGTGCGCTGTTTTAGTTTTTGTCGCAAAATGGAAAGGGAGGTGAGGGGGTGAGCGCGGAGCATTTGTGAGGAGGAGTTGGAGTTTGTAGATGGGGAGGAGTTAAGCGCGGTGAAACGAGGGAGTTGGTTGGGAGTTGGAGTAAAAATTGGAGTTTGTAGATGGGGAGGAGTTAACTGCAGTGAAAGGGAGGGAGTTGGTTGGGAGTAGGAAAAAGGGTTGGAGTTTGTAGATGGGGAGGAGTTAACTGCAGTGAAAGGAGGGAGTTGGTTGGGAGTAGGAGAAAAGGTTGGAGTTTGTAGATGGGGAGGATTTAAGTGCGGTGAAAGGGAGGGAGTTGGTTGGGAGTTGGATAAAGGTTGGAGTTTGTAGATGGGGAGGATTTTAAACTAGGGTCTATTGTTTTCGATTGTTTTGCAAATGAAAGGCCTCTCGCGAAGTGATTGGATTGCGACGGGCGAATTGCTCAATTTGTGAGCTCTCGCTAAGTTCGTCAAACCTTTCGTCAAATCCGGGAGCTTGCGGGCCACACAAAGTTCGCACGCGCGTGTGAATCCTACAGAAATACTATACCCTGGTTTTAGTGCGGTGAAAGGGAGGGGGTTGGTTGGGCGTTCGATAAAGGTTGGAGTTTGTAGATGGGGAGGAGTTAAGTGCGGTGAAAGGGAGGGAATAGGTTCGGAGTTGGAGAAAAGGTTGGAGTTTGTAGATGGGGAGGATTTAAGTGCGGTGAAAGGGAGGGAGTTGGTTGGGAGTTGGATAAAGGTTGGAGTTTGTAGATGGGGAGGATTTAAGTGCGGTGAAAGGGAGGGAGTTGGTTGGGAGTAGGATAAAGGCTGGAGTTTGCAGATGGGGAGCATTTAAGTGCGGTGAAAGGGAGGGAGTCCGTTGGAACTTGGAAGCCCCCCAGAAAATGCGACTCTCATTTGAAAGTCGCGTTTTTTAAAATCCTTGCCTAGCCCGCTTTTAGGTGGCCCACTAGTAGGTGGCGGGTAGTAATACCCGCTTTTTAGGGAAATTGGGTCGGGTATACCCGACCCGCCACGCAGGTTATGAATTATCCGCTCCCAAACGCCGGGTCCGGGTAGTGGTCCTGGGCTAATTTCTGATCCGAACCTGACCCAAAATACCCGATGAATAAAGGGGATGCAAAAAGTCGGGTAATGCAAAAACGGGTCGGGCTGGGTAAGGGCAAAAGCTGGAACGAATGGAGGAATAGGACGGTGGTCGATGAATATCGGTGGGGACTAGGAAGAAATGCGGTGGTGCACTAGGGACGACTGTATTGCACTTGGAATGACGATGGAAATATGACGAAGAGAAATATGAAGCAGAAAAAGAAATAGAGAGAAGGAAAAAAGTTGGAGTTACATGACGTGTTGCGGGGGGAAATGACATTTTAGGCGGTGCGCGTTCAGTGGCACCAAACTTGGGTCGGTGTCGGTGTTGAATCATGCGGACCACATTTCGACTTGGTTGTGAGTGCGAGCCGTGACGACTCGATGAGCACTCCTTACTCGAGGCGCCCTTGGTAGTTACGAACTGCGAAATGTCATTCTGGTTGACTATAAAACTGCTTGTATGTTTGTCATTTGTTAACACAATTGAGTTCAGAATCTTGCAGAAGTGTGTAATCTCGACTTCTAGCAAACTTGAGCATACCGACGGATTCGTGTCGTTGAGGCATTTATCATACAGCCTATTGCTGCTCTATAATTGTAGTGCATGGAAATCTTGCAAAATCTTATATTCACTTTCGGCGAAATACCGTCGGCCGGAGGTGATCGGCCAGTTGGTGCATCGGAGTTCGAGTGCTCAGTGCTACCGTGCTTTGTAGCCATAGGCGAGGAGTTCTTGCTACGAGCTAGCGGTAGGACATCAGCATCAGTCACAAGCAAGGTTGGATTGATGTGAAGCGCATCTAACATTTCGTCTCCTAGGACCTGTAGTTTCACGCGGAAGATATAGTCGACTTAGAGCTGGTATCAGAGCTAGCGTTGAATTCCAAACGAAATTGCTATGTGACAGGCGTGTGCATTTAGTGCGCTGAATGCACCTAGTGTGTGCAAGCGAAGAAATTGCTATGCCGACGAGTAGCAAAGTGTAGTCGGGTTTCTCGACGAATATGGAGGACCCGAAGGTACAGGCTCTTCTCGAGGCCCTTGTGAAAGAGCATTGATGGCGAAGCTGACGATTGGGTTGAGCGAAGCCCAACGCTTCAGTGGGAGCAACTACTCAACATGGCGGCTGAAATTCATTCGACGCGCTGAGGAAGTTGGGTTGTGCTCGCTCTACCACGTTGACAAAACAACAAACGAGGGCGTTCTTCCAACTACGACGGAGGAGCGTGAAGAAATTGCAGTGTTCAAGAAGCGGAGCAAGCAGACTTTCTTCCAACTGTGTCATTCGGTGGCGGACGGCATTGCTGTGGGGTTGGACGACTTCGCAGGGGAGCTGAACTCTGCGGAGCTGGCTTGGGAGTACATGGAGTCCACGGACATGGAAGTGACAGATGCTGACATAGCAGCAGTGAGGGAGCAGTTGCTTCTGTTGAGCATGGGGAAAGGAGAGCGCATCATCGAATACGTAAACATGATTAAGAGCTACAATGACAATTTGAGGGCCATGGGAGCGGAAGAGTCAGAGAAGGAGATGATCGGCTATAGCATCCAAGGACTTCCTCAGGAGTGGGAGTCAGATATCAGCATGTTCCGCTACACTAGAGAGCTTTCTGTTAATTAAGGGGCTCAAGATGAACTTGATTAGTCAGTCACAGCACCAAGCATGCAAGAGAGCTGCAGCAAATGGGTATATGCAAATGGGCATCAATCGCTTCTGTTGCCTCAGCTTCTGCTACTGCATCTGCTTCCTCCTCTCCATTGAGCAAAGAGTCCTCCTCACTCACCTCTTCTTCTTCCGCTGGATTTTCAGGTAGCAGCATGTTGCAGACGGTGTGTAGGTGAACATGCTGACATTTGACTCCCATTCTTGAGGAAGTTCTTGGATGATATAGTCGATCATCTTCTTCTCCAATTTTGCCCCTCCCATCGCCCTCAAATTGTTATTGTAGCTCTTAGCCCTGTCCGCATATTCGATGATGCGCTCTCCCTTCCCCATGCTCAACAGTAGCAGCTGCTCCCTCACTGCTGCTTTGTCAGCATTTGCCACTCCCATCTACGTGGACTCCATGTACTCTCAAGCCAGCTGCGTAGAGTTCATCTCCCCTGCGAAGTCGTCCAATCCCACAGCAATGCCGTCCGCCACTGAGTGACACTGTTGGAAGAAGGTCTGCTTGCTGCGCTTCTTGTACGCTGCAATTTTCTCAGGCTCCTCCGTCGTAGTTGGAGGAACGCCTTCGTTTGTTGTCGTGTCAGGGTGGCAGGGCGAGCACAGCCCAACTTCCTCAACGCGTCGAATGAATTTCAGTCACCACGTTGTGTAGTTGCTTCCACTGAAGCGTTGGGCTTCGCTCAGCCCAATCGTCGGCTTCGCCACCAGTTGCCCTTTCGCAAGGATCTCGCGAAGGGCTGCACCTGCGAGTCCTCCATATTCGTCGAGAAACCCGACTGCACCTCGCTTCTTGTCGGCATAGCAATTTCTTCACTTGCGCACACTGGATTAACTTAGCACACTTAAGGCACACGCCTGTCACGTAGCAATTTCGCTAGGAATTCCACACGGGCTCTGAAAACAATTCTAAGTCGGCTATAGCTTCCGCGTGAAACTACAGCTCCTCGGAGACGAAATGTTAGACGCGCTTCACAGCAAGCCAACCTTGCTTGTGATTGATGCGGACGTCCTACCGCTAGCTCGTAGCACGGACTCCTCGCATGCGGCTATAAAACGCAGTCGTAATGAGCGCTCAGACTCCGATGCACCAGCTCGCCGACCTCCGGCCGACGGTATTTCGAATCGCCTGAACGACACGAATCCATCGGTATGCTCAAGTTTGCTAGAAGTCGTGATTACGCACTTCTGCAAGATTCAGTTTTCAATGTAATATCAAATGACAAGCATACAAGCAATTTTATAGTCAAACAGATTTGCAAGTCGCGGCTCGTAACTACCGAGGGCATCTCGAGTAACAAGCATGCCTCGTGTCGTTTCGGGTCGCACACGCGACCAATTCGGAATGCGGTCTGCGTGATTCAACACCGACACCGATCCCAAGTTCGGTGCCACTGAACGCGCACCGCCTGAAATGTCATTTCCTCCTGCTACACCTCACGTTACTCCAACTTCTTTCCTTCCTCCCCATTTCGTTTCTGCTCCTTCCCATTTCTCTTCGTCATATTTCCACCGTCATTCCCAAGTGCAACACAGTCGTCCCTAGTGCACCACCGCATTTCTTTCGAATCCCCATCGATTTTCCTCAACCACTGTCATAGTCGTCCATTCGTTCCAATTTCTTGCATCTTTCCCCGCTATTTCCAGAACCGATTTTTTTTCAGTTCCCACCGTCTGAAACTCTTCCCTTGATTATGGTCGCCACCCCTAGATCGCCCTTATGGTTGGTCGAATCAATTCCAACAGTGCTGGGCTAATTTCCTGACACATACCCGACCCGAAGTCGGGTTATGCAAAATCAGGTCGGGTCGGGTAATTACCCGGTTTTGCTCAGCTCCTCCCCTTCCTGCCTGTCCTGTTACTACTGCCCCATCCTTGCTTCTCACCCCCAGTGCTGCACTCTTTCTCGGCTTCTCCTGCGCCCTCTCCTCGCCGCCTCCCACCCAGTGCCCCCAGTTTTCCCCTTTCTCCTCCTCCCTCCCTCCTCAGCCTTCCTCTCCTTCTTGACTGCTCCTGCGCCTCCCCCTGTCATCAACCCCCAATGGCCCCATTCCTCTCCCCCCCGTTCGCCGTCCTTTTCTCCCCGCCCCATCCCCATTCCCCCTCTCCCCCCCTCCCAGTGGTGCATTGCTCCTCGACTACTCCTGCGCCTCCCCCCCTCGCCGGCCCCCAATTGCCCCTCCAGCTCTACGCGGCATGGCCTGTGACCCCTCTCCGTTGCCGGGATATACCTGCTCCCGGCAACTGAGAGGCAACGAGTGAGTGTGATTGTGACCATGTGCCTGTAATCATTATCTCAAGTGCTAGTCCGTGCCATTGCCTGCGAACCCTCTCTCCCCTGCCGCGATAAACCTGCTCCCGGAAACTGAGAGGCAACGAGTGAGTGCGTGTGCTGCATGTGTTTCATGATGTTAGTTCAACTGGAGGGGTCAGTGACTTTTGAGTCGACTCAAAAGTCAACTGGGGTGGTCAGTGACTCAGTGGCATTGCTTGTGCCTTGACCCTTCTCCCCGTATGTGTCGTTCCGCCTTGATTTATCTCTCATATTGCTTGCCCTTCGTTCTGTTTTTGAGTCAACTCAAAAGCAGACTCAGTGGCATTGCCTGTGGTGTGTGGCCCTTCTCCCCCTATATGATGTGCCGCCTTGATTTATCTCTCATATCGCATGTCATTCGCTCGCACTCCTTCCATTCGCTCTCACTCCTGGAGTACTGCACCCGGTGTCTTCACACTCACGACTTGACTGCCTCCCCCTCCTCCTCCCTCCCCGATCCCCCACTTTCTTCCCACACCCGCCCTCTTCCCTCCCAATTCTCCCCTCCCACCCCATCCCCCCCACCTCTCAGTTTCATTTCATCCTGCACTGGCGGTCAACAAGGCGTCCATAGCCATGGCAACCGACTCAAACTGCTCCGTCCTCTGCCCCTATTTCCCTCTTCCCTGCACAACACCCCCCCACCCCCCCCCAACCTCCCAGCTTCGTCCTGCACTGGCGGGTCAACAAGGCGTCCATAGCCGTGGCAACCGAAGCAAACTGCTCCGCCTCTGCCCCTATTTCCCGCTTCCCTGCACAACCCCCCCCCCCCCCCGCCTCCTAGCTTCGTCCTGCACTGGCGGGTGAACAAGGCGTCCATAGCCGTGGCAGCCGAAGCCGCCACCACTGGCTGGGTTGCCATCGGGTGGTCCCGGCTCGGCAAAATGGCGGGCAGCGATGCAGCCATAGGGAACCTGCCGTACGGGGAAACGGGCATGGGCATGCCCCCAGTAGGGGCGTTCTCCATCGGGGGCTACAGCCGGGAGTCCATCTCCCTGTCTGAGCTGTTTGAGACCCGCAAGAGCAGCGTGGCGACAGTCAACGGAAGGACTCTGATCTGGTACGCTGGGTTGGGAGTAGCTGCATGGGCTTGGTGCGTTTGCCCCCTGTTGGGGCGTTCTCCCTCGGGGGCTACAGCCGGGAGTCCATCTCCGTGTCTGAGCTGTTTGAGACCCGTAAGAGTGGCACGGCGACAGTCAACGGCAGGACCAGGACCATGAGATGATACCATGTGGTAGGGGGCACAGCAGGTTGAGCAGGGTGTGTTTGCCTTGCCCCCAGTAGGGGCGTTCTCTATCGGGGGCTATAGCCGAGAGTCTATTTCCGTGTGAGATCTGTTTGAGACCCGCAAGTGTGGCACAGCGACAGTCAATGGGAGGACCATGATATGGTATGTAAGCCACGAGTAACAGTGTGTTGCCGTCGGGTCTGCTTTAGAGTCGGCTCAAAAGCCACGAGCAACAGTGAGTAACCATCGGGTCTGCTTTTGAGTCGGCTCAAAAGCCATGCGTAACAGTGTGTTACCATGGGGGGTCAAAGCAGAGAGTCCATTCCTTCCTCTGAGCTTTTACCTACTCAGAGGAAATGCCTCTGAGCTCAGAGTCACTCTAACGCTTAATGGCAGAGAGTCCATTCCTTCCTCTGAGCTCTTTGAGACGCGCAAGAGTGGCGTGGCTATAGTCAACAGCAGGACCATGATATGATACGTAGAGAGTAACAGTTTGCGCTACAGTATATGGCGGGCAGCGATGCAGCTATAGGGTTATGGCAGAGATTCCGTCAACCTCCCTGAGCTGTTTGAGGCGCGCAAGAGTGGCTTTGCTGCAGTCAACGAAAGGACACTAATTTGGTATGCTGGGAGTACCGGTAGCAGCATGGGCATGGGCATGGGCATGGGCATGGCATGCCTGCTGGAGGGGCGTTGTCCATCGGGGGCTATAGCCAATACCGTTGGGCAACGATGCATGCAGCCATGGGGAACCTGCCCAACAGCTCTTCCTCTCTCCCTCCCTCCCTCCTGGCTTTCAGCTCTGGACGTGTGTTTGCAGGACAGCGCTTTGGCTGCATGTCCAATGGTCCCATACTTAGAAGGGCGTCAGCTCGTCCAGGTGCATTATGAGTCTCAAACATTGACTCTAAATACACCTGTTTTAAGGAGAATGCGTTGGGGATGGTGATGTCTCAAGCGTTGACTCAAAATACACCTGACGACAATACATGTCCTCCTGCTACAGTGGAGTCACTATTGAGAATTCTCAAAAGTACACCTGACAACGATACATGTCCTGCTACAGTGGAGTCATTTTTTAGAATTTCCAAAAATGACTGCTGATGTCTCGGTGTATTCTGAGTCGACTCAAAATGTGTTGGGGACGGCGACAACAATAAGTGTCCAGCTGATGTCTCAAGTCGTCCTTTCTTTGCAGGTTTGAGCTCGTATTTGGGGCAGGTCTTATCCCCATGCAGGAGAATGCGTTGGCTGCATGTCCGGCTGATGTCTCAAGCGGTCCTCACTCTCTTGGCTCTCTCACCCTGGGCCTCTTGACAGGTTGTCGAGTCGGGCCTCCTTGACAGGTTTGAGCACGTATTAGGAGCAGGTCTTAACCCCATGCAGGAGAATGGGTTGGCCAATATCATCTGGGCGTACTCTGGGGATGGTTCTAATGTCTCTCAGGCCTCCACTTTCCTGCTTGCTTACCGTGCCCCTCCTCCCTGCTTTCAGGTTTCAGCGCTTGTTTGAAGTGGGTCTTAGCCCCGTGCAGGAGAATGGGTTGGCCTGAGTGGGCCCCAGCATCATCTGGGCGTGCTCTCTGGGGATGATGGGTCTCATGGCTTTCCTTCCCTTGCGTGAGGAGTCTATTTTCGAGGCGCCTCAAAAACAGACTCTGGGGATGATGGGTCTCATGGCTTTCCTTTCCTTCCTCCTGCTTGTCTCCCTTCTCCTTCCCTCCCTACTGGCAGGTTTGAGCGTGTGTTCGGGGTGGGCATGATCTCCATGCACGAGAACGGGTCGGCCAACATCATCTGGGCGTGCTCTCGAAATGGGCCTCTTGTCTCTTCCCTTCCTTCCCTCCCTACTGGCAGGTTTCAGCACCTCTTTGGGGCGGGCCTCAACCCCATGCAGGAGAATAGGTTGGCCAACATCATCTGGGCGTTCTCTGGGGATGATGGGTCTCATGCCTCTTCCCTCTCCTTCGTCCTGTACCGCCCTCCTCCCTGCTTTCAGGTTTCAGCGCTTGTTTGAAGCGGGCCTCAACCCCATGCATGAGAATGGGTTGGCCAACATCATCTGGGCTTACTCTGGGGATGGGTCACAAACCCTATCAGACCACATGGGCAACAAGTGAGTAGTCATGTTGGCTCATGTGCTTATGTGCTTATGTGCTCATGTGTGCTCATATGTGCTCATGTGCGCATGTATGTTAATGGGAGACAGGAAGAAACGGGTTGGCCAATATCATATGGGCGTACTCTGATTTTGCAGGGTGTTTTTGAGAATTCTCAAAAACACCCTGCAAAATCATATGGGCGTACTCTGGGGGTGGGTCACAAACCCTGCCATGCCAGATGCGTACCATATTCAACATGAGTATTTTCTCTCGATCTCCTCGCCTTCCTCTCTTCTTATTTCCCTCTTTTCCCCCTTCCGTCACCTGTCATCACCTCTCTTCACCTCTCGTCACCTCTCATCACCTCTCGTCGCCTCTCTTCACCGCTCTGCACCTCCCATTCCAGGGGCACCACTGCCATTGACATCATCACAGGGGACTCTAAGCATTCCTCTCTCTCCTCCCCTCCTTCCTCCTCATCCTCCTCCTCCTCCTCCTCTCCCTCCTCCTCCTCCCCTACTTCCTCTTCACCCACCACCTCGACACCTCCCCCACCTCCTCCTCCCCCTCCTCCTCCTCCCCCTCCTCTTCCTCTGCCCTCATCGCTCACGCTGTCTTCCTCTCCCTCGCCTTCTTCCTCCTCATACCGTCCGCAATCATCATCGCTCGTCTCTTCCTCGCCGCCCGGCCCCCTCACTCCCCTTCCTCCCCCAACCCCCCACCTCCCACTACTCCTCTCACTCTGCTGACTCCGATACTGGGACTTATGGGTCGGCCGATCCCTCCTCTTCCTCCTCCGCTCCCGCTCCTCCTCCTGACTCCTCCCCTCCTCTCTCCCCCCCTCTCTCCCCAACCACCAGCGCCTCCCTCCTACAACCCCACCCCTTCCTCCCCACTCTCCCCCTCCTCCCCCACCTCAAATCCCACGCCTTCACCTACCACCAGTATCTCAACCTCGCTGCCCTTTTCTCCTGCCTGCTCGGCTGCACAATCGCGTTCGCAGCCGTCGGATCGCCGGGGCTCAGCCACACGCATGGTCAGATGGGCCTCGTGGTGCTCCTGCTGGTGATTCTGCAGCCGGGTTTAGGGTTTCTGCGGCCAGAAAAGAGGGCTTCTAGCAGGGCGTCTTGGCTGTTCGCCCACTGGCTGCTGGGGCTGGCAGTAATAGGCATGGGGTGGGCCAATGCGTTCTCTGGCTTGAAGCTCTACAGCAGCATCTTCAACTCCTCTGTCATGGTCAGTGCTCAGAGTTGTGGGGCTAGTAGGGTTTGTAGGGCTTTTACGGGTTCATGCGGCCGGACAAGGGGGCAAGGGGTCTTGGGGGTTTGCGCACTGGCTGCTGGGGCTGGCAGTGCTGGGCATGGAGTGGGCCAGCGCCTTCTCTGGCTGGGACCTCGTCATGCTATGTTCAACTCATCTGTCACAGCTAGTGTTGGGGGTTTTGCAGAGGGATGTGTGGTTTGTAGGGTTTTAGGCTTCTGGGGGTTTCTGCGGCCGGACTATGGGGCGTCTAGCAGGGCGTTGTGGGTGTTTGCCCACTGGCTGCTGGTCTGGCAGTCGTGGGCATGGGAGGGCATGGGGAGGGGCATGGGGTGGGGCATGGGGTGGGCATGGGGTGGGCATGGGGTGGGCATGGGGTGGGGGTGGGGCATGGGGGGGGCATGGGGATGAGCATGGGGTGCGCATGGGGTGGGCGGACGCCATCTCTGGATTGGAGCTCTTCCAAAAGCAAGTTTGACTGGATCACTCCCCTGCACACGCTGCCTCCCCTCTTGCTGCCCTCAATCTCATCTACCCCCCTCCCCTCTCTCCCCCCCCCCCTCCACGCTTCCACCAGCAGCCTTGGACCATTCTGTTCGGCATTGCTGTAGCTATGAGTCACCTCAAAAGTCTCCTCTCTTGATACCCTCCATCCTATCCCCTCCCCTCTCCCCTCTCCCCTCCCCCCTTTCCACATGCAGGCTTGGACCATTCTATTTGGTATTGCTGCAGCTGTTTCCGCTACAGCATATTTCCTTATTGCAATGATGCAGTTCACACAGGGGCACTCATCTCGAGCGCTCAGCTACCAAATAGAGCTGTAGGGCGCATTGTAGCTAATTTGAATTCTGTCAGCATGTCATCACATGCAGTTACGAACTGCATACCTAAATGCTGCCGTATGTGACTGACTGTGAGTACAATGAGCTTGTCAGCTAGATGGCATCTGTGCTGCACATACATAATGATCCAACTATGATACTGTCATGCTAAAAAAAAAAAAAAAAAAAACTAGTATCCTATACAGCTATTGGCAACAACTCTAGTCATAAGTCATCTCATTGGTCAAAACCAAATAACTTACAGTACTAATGAATTCCACATGATAATATACAACTGCATACCTAAATGCGTGCCGTATGTGACTGTGATACGTAGTGTAGTTGTGCAAACGAATGACACAATGTCCTTGACTCAGCTAGATGGCACTCTCTTGTTGCTTTGGCAAAACCACATACCATATTCCATGATTATATACCATTTATGCATTAGCTGTGTATCATGCTGGAAAGAAAGAACGAAAACTAGTTACTCCTCCTATACAGGCGCTGCTATTTGTTGGCCAGGAACCAACTCTCCTAGTCAACCTAAGTCAACCCCCCTTCTCTCCTTCAACCTTCGACGGCCTCCAATCATCCCCCATCCTCCTCCCCCAAACTGCTTCAGCCACCACCAGGAGTTGGGGTGGGGTGCAACTTGAGTCAGTTGAAACCCCCCCCTCCCTCCACCTTCCTCCTCACTCCTACTCTCCGTCCCTCTCCTCTCTCCTCCCACCAGACCGTCTGGCCCACCAGAAGCTGGAGCGGGGTGTAGCGGGCGGTGCCCTTTGAGTCAGTTGGCAAGTCATCTCACTTCACCTGCAAGTCACCTGACTTCCTCTAATCATCATCCCCACCACCACCCCCCCCTCCTCTCCCGAACCGTCTGGGCCACCACCAGAAGTTGGAGCGGCCCGCAGCAGGTGCGGTGCGGCAGGAGAAGTCAACAGAGAGACGGCCACTGGGGGAGGGGAGGTGGGAGAGGAAAGGGGGAGGAGGGGGGGAGGGGAGATGGGGTTAGGAAGTTGGGATGACCCGTAGTGGGCGCCGTGCGGTAGGAGAAGTCAAAAGAGAGATGGCCACTGGGGGAGCGGAGGGGGGAGAGGGGGTAGGGATGGGTTGGAAAGATGGAGCGGCCCGTAGCAGGTGCGGTGCGGCAGGAGAAATCAACAGAGAGACGGCCACTGGAGGAGGGAGGAGGCGGGAGCGGAGGGGAGAGTTGGGTAAGCGAGGAAGGGAGGGAAGAGAGAAGGGGGGGAGAAAGTTGCAGTGGGAAGTAGCGAGGTGCAGATCGAAGGAATATATGAAAGATATATGAACAAAAAAATCGAGCCAATGCATTGGATCCAGGCGAAGAGAAAGTCCAGTTGAGGCTGTTCTTGCCAGATAGCTTGATATGAGCGTTGACTTCTCCTAACGAGCCTATACTCGTTATGAGCACACCCATCACACTCACAAGTTGCTGCCGTGAGACCCCAGTGTGTTGGATCCTGAGGAAGAAGTACGCCCAGATGAGGCTGTTCTCGCCAGATAACGTGATATCTCGTTATTAGCACACCCATCACACTCACCAGTTGCCGCCATGTGAGCCCAGTGTGTTGGATCCCGAGGAGGAGTAAGCCCAGGTGGGGCTGTTCTTGCCAGATAACGTGCTATCTGTCCTCGCTATTAGCACACCCGTCACATTCACTAGTTGATTCCTTGACACCTCAGTGTGTTGGAGCCTGAGGAGGAGTAAGCCCAGGTGAGGCTGTTCTCACCAGATATCATCATTCTCACGCCGTCCCACACTGGCACACACCAGCACACACCGGCACACACTGGCACACACCGGCACACACCGGCACACACCAGCACACACCAGCACACACTGGCACACACCAGCACACACTGGCACACACCGGCACACACACCAATGCACGTCACACTCACCAGTTGCCTCCATGTGAGCCCAGTGTGTTGGATCCCGAGGAGTACGCCCAGATGAGGCTGTTCTTGCCAGAGAGCCTGATATTTATACTCGTTATTAGCACACCCATCAAACTCACTAGTTGCCTCCGTGTGACCCCAGTGTGTTGGATCCTGAGGAGGAGTAAGCCCAGATGAGGCTGTTCTTGCCAGAGAGCCTGAACTGGTTGGACCATCCAGTGTTGTCTGTGCGAGTGAATCTGGTGGGGAGTGTGGGAGTGAGTGAGAGAGGGAGTGTGAGAGTCTGAGTGAGAGAGGGAGTGTGAGAGTCTGAGTGGGAGAGGAGAGGAGGGATCAGACGAGGAGTGAGCCCAGATGAGAGTGTTCCTCCCCGATAGCTAGAACTCATTGGACGGATAAGTGAAAGTCCAGCGAGTCCAACGAGTCCAACGAGTCCAACAAGTAGAGCTCGTTGGACAGATAGGTCGAAGGATTCGAACCGCAGAAAGTCCAGGTGTTGTCTGCGCACCAAAGTGCTGACATAAATATCTCCCCAAAACCCCAAACCCAAGACCACAAACTTTGAACATCAAGAAAGGAACCCTCCCTGGGACTCCAAGGGGATCCAGAGTACCCCACCTCATGATCAACCCACGACCTGAAACCCCAGACTCAGGAGGGACCTTAGAATCTTGGAGATGGCTACACTTCCGATGTCAAAAACGCCTTGTTTCACCTCCCCAATACCCTCTCAACCCAAAACCTCCAACCCAAACCTCAATCCAAAACCTCAATCCCAAACCCGCCAACCCCACGCCCTCAACCCGAAACGCTCAGCTGAAAACCACAATCCCCAATCCTCACAGGCCCCTAATCCAAGTAACTCCCCTCATGACGATAGATTTGTAAGCGTAGATCTCCCCAAAGGACCTCAACCCCAAAGCCAAGAGACACACACACCCACCTCATGACGATCGACCCTCCTTCTGTCTTGGTGCTCGCTTGGCTCCCGATCTCAAACCCGCCTCGCTTCACCGACCCAGTCGAGTACCCCGACACCTTGTAAGCGTATATCTCCCCGTTGGGAAGGTTCCCGGCAACAGCATCAGAAGGCACCATGCGGCCGCTAGAGCTGCTCCAAGCTAGGGACATCCACCCGTCGCTCGCTGCACTCCCTGCCTTCGCCTCTACTGCCATCTCCACTTCCTTCCCAACAGCTGCCTTCCAGTGCAGCAGAAGGCTGGAAGGAGGGGGGGGAAGGGGGGGATGGAAGAGAGGGTGCCTTGAGCCTCTGTCCCTCGCTGGACTCCCTGCCTTCGCCTCTACTGCCATCTCCACTTCTTTCCCAGCAGCCGTCTTCCTGTGCAGGAGAAGGTTGGAAGGGGGTTGCATGGGAGAGAGAAAGCGGAAGGGAAGCAAACGGAGGTGGTGTCGTCTATCCTTGCTGGACTGCCGGACTTTGCGTCCACTGCCATCCACTTCTCTCCCAACAGCCAAATTCCAGAGCAGAAGAAGGCTGGAGGTAGGGCGCCATTTGGCGGGGGGAGCCGCTACATGTCATGTAAGCACATGTCAAGCAGGCACATCACATGCAGGCACATGTCAAGCAGGCACATCACATGCAGGCACATGTCAAGCAGGCACATCACATGCAGGCACATGTCAAGCAGGCACATCACATGCAAGCGCATCTCATGCAGGCACATCACATGCAAGCACATGTCAAGCAGGCACATCACATGCAAACACATCACATGCAGGCACATCACATGCAGGCACATCACATGTAATCACATCTTATGTAAGCACATGTCAAGCAAGCACACGCCGTAACAGTGCATCTCTCCTGCTGCCCTGGAGACTCGCTTGGTTCTGGTACCCTCAAGTGCCGACTTCTTGCAGTTCTGGCCGGGCAATGATGAGGAGGAGGGGCGGGGAGCGGGCTGTTTTTTTCCAAGAGCATCTCTTATAAGTCTCACCTGCTGCCCTGGACACTCGTTTGGTTGATTTTTGAGTCGACTCAAAAATCACCACTGGTATCCCTCAAGTGCCGACTTCTTGCAGTTCTGGCCGGACGACGAGGAGGAGGAGGAGGAGGAGCGGGGGGGGGTGGGTGCTGCCAGTGTAGGCCCGTATCACCTTCCATACAAGCACATCCAAGATAAGAACATCTCACCTGCTGCCCTGGAGACTCGCTTGGTACTGGTATCCGTCTAGTGCAGACTTCTTGCAGTTCTGGCCGGGCGACGAGGAGGAGGGGCGGGGAGGAGGCGGGGGAGCAGCAGCGTCACAGGAGAAGTCCACCTCTGCGAATCCCCTGGAGGGGGAGAGAAGGCGTGGGGTGGGGGGAGGAAGAGAAGGGGGGAAAGGAGGGGGGGGAGGTGAGCATCCAGGCCAGGAAATTGGAGGAGGAGGCGCAGGGAGAAATACTTTTAAGAGGCCTCAAAAGGAGGGGAGAGTGGTGAGAATCCTGGCCAAGAGAGAGGAACAGGCGGAGCGGGGGAGCAGGCGGGGGAGCAGGCGGGGGAGCAGCAGCGTCGCTCGAGAAATCAAGCGCTGACAATCCCCTGGAGGTTGGGGGAGGGCGGGTAGAAGAGGGAAGAGTGGGAGGGGGGAGGAGAGAGAAGGCAGGGAGGGGGATGAAAGAGCAGGATGCTCGGCACCAGACCAGAGCACAAGTACGGGCTCGGAATACAGGTTTGGAATGCAGATTCGGCATGCAGGTTCGAGATACAGGTTTGGTACAGGTTCGGATGCTACGTACCTGTTGCTGTCGTGGAAGCTGAGGACTTTGGTGCTGTCTGCTGGTAGGCACCAGACCAGGGTGCAAGGTTCGGATAGAGGTTCGGTACAGGTACGGGATGCAGGTTCGGGATAACGGCTCGGTTTTCAGGTTCGGACGTTTCGTACCTGTTGCTGTCGTGTGAGCCGAGGACTTTGGTGCCGTCCGCTGCATATGCCCATGTGATTATACCGTAGCCCCTTATACTGAAGGGCACGACTCCAGCGTTGTCCTCAAAACGAGAGAACCTGTAGGGGATAAGACGACGACGAAATAGGCGCTTAATGGTACACCACCCGTACACAACCTCCTACTCGGACCCCAAAAAAAAAAAAAAAAAAAAAAAACGTAAAACAACCACACTGAAGAATAAAAACAAACTCTTGTAGTAACCACGCACTTCATTATAACGGAGCTCCCGCTGCGCGACAGGCTCGTCTTCCCCAGCTGCATGTCGTTCGTCCGCCGAACCGCGCTCGCCTCGTGCCCGGTCATGCTATACCCGGCGACTAGCGTGCGCTGCTGGTTACCAACCACCGCGTCGCCAGGATACATCGCTCCCGTCTGCGACCACCCCACGGCGAACCAGCCCTTTCCGGGGAGCGCCTGCGACGTCGTCTGATTGTCCGGCGAGGAGGAGGAGGAGTCTGCGACGGCGAGCCGTCGCGCTTCGACGGCGATTTGGAGCTCCGACGTGTTTTTGGCGGGAACCCAGTGGATGGTGAGGCTGGGCGGGAGAGGGGGGTTGGGGGGGGGGGGTTGGGGGGGAAGGGGTGGGGAGGAGGGGTTATTAGGAGAGTTGAAGAAACAGTGAAGGTGTGCGGAAAACCAGTGGATGATGAGGGTATGGGGGAAGGGGGAGGAGGGGTGGGGTGTGTGGGGGGGGGGGGAGAGGTGTGGGGGGGGGGGAGCAGAAGAGATTAAGAAACAGTTGAAAGGGGGGTCTGGTTGTGAGGGCGATTATGACCGCGATTTGGAGCTCTGACGTGTTTTTGGTGGGAATCCAGTGGATGGTGAGGCTGGGGGCGGGGGGGAGGGAAGGAGGGACGGGTGGGGGTGGGGGTTGGGGAAGCAGAGGATGGTGGGATTCCAGTGGATAGTGAGGCTGCAGGTAGGTTGTAGGGGATAGAGAGCGGTTCAGAACTCAAATGCTGTTAAAACATCAGTGTACAAAGAATCCTTTGCTTGTGCAAGAAATCATTTGACACGTTGCACTGAATCCGTTTGTAGAGCGCGAATACTCGCACGCGGGTTTCACAAAGCGTCTACATGTGAGCGAATGAAGCGGCAAATACTTTTTACGTCATCCACTATCACTTTCCTATGTCCGCAGCAGCATTCACATCCTCCCTATCGAGCCTCTCGTTACCCCTCAGAACGGATGCCGACGTGTAACCGGGCAACGTGGAACTTTCGCCGACGAACGAATTCGGCACCGTTCCTTTGGAGCTCCACACCTTCGCTATCTGGTGGAAGAAAACGGATCCCAGTTATAGAGAACCTCCTTACGCGTCAGAAAACTTGTTAGCTGATATGTAGCCGGGCAGCGTGGAGTTGTTGCACGCGAACCTCCTTACAGGGTACCTCCTTATTGATTACGTCCTTATAGGGTACCTCCTTATAGAGAACCTCCTTACCCGTCAGAAAGCTTGTAGGATGATATGTAGCCGGGCAGCGTGGAGTTGAGGCAGACGAACAGAGACGCCGCGTTGCCGCCTTGGTTCCACACTTTCGAGATCTGGTTGAAAAAATCGCGGACCTGCTTCGACACCTGATTCGAAAAACTGCCGCCTTCCGCCGAACCCGCTAGCAGGAGAAATAGCGGCAGCAGCAGTGGCAGCAGCTGCAGCAGCGAAACGCGCGAGGAAGCCATAAGCTGCGATGGGCTACTAGAGCGTCGCATTCTACTGGACGTAGAGCTTTTGTGGGGAAAAATAAAAAGCCTCTTTCGTTAATGAAAAATGGCGTTAATTCTTTGCAGCGGGAAAGTGCTGTGGCTCTAAATATCATCGAGCTAGAAGACGCGGATGATGGGGCTGTTTCCAACACTCGAGATCCTGACTTCCAAAATAGCTTACTGTATAAAAGTAGTGTTTGGAGGGTTCTTGAGGCAGACAATTAGCGGGACTGCGCAGGGGCGGCTTCTACTATTCAGCCTGAGCAAAGCTCAACAACGCAAGCTGTCTGGGGGAACGAGGAACCTACTAGTGCGGCAAGTGGTGTGGAAATTTGCCCCACCTCATGCACACGCTGATAACGACTCCTAGGAATTTGCAAGCCACACCAACAGACACACTTGGTTGCTGGGCTTGAATTAGCACACTGCACAGCTGAAAATTCTACAACAAATTCCCGAGCCGCACATTTTGGCCCACGCGCGGGGAAGGGTATTTGTCGGGTCGCACGGGTTTTCTCTGTCGCAAGAACCAGGCGTAGTGTGGCAACCCGCAGTCGCAGAGCATAATCGCTGGGCGTCGCTGATGAATCATAACAAACATCTGCCTTCCAAATTCGCTCGCACGGCTTTTGCGCCAATTCCTGGAGTCGTACAAGGCGACCAGTGAAGTGAAGCCTGACGGTGGTGCAGGAAGCGAAAAGGGACATAACTACATATTAGAAACAAATACAGCCTGCCAGTTGTATATAAAACAAGCCAACGCTCTCAAGGTGATGCTACAAACCCACAAAAAATAACACATCAGCAACCTAACATTTCACGCAGCATACGGATTCTTAACCCGCATTTGATAAAAATCCTGCAGCTACCGTGCACACATGAGTACGCAAGGCTGGATGGGAGATCCCACATTAACTTGTGGAGCACTAGGGGTATTGTTAGGTCATGCTCCTCCAGCCTCTGATAGGACATGCCTCCAGTCCGATTCCTTCAGCACCAAGCTAAACTGCATTCAACCGTGTGATCTCCCAGTGGAATTGCACAGTACCGCCATGCATGACAATGGCAGCCTATGATTACGCCCTTGGCTGCCTCAATACCACACCCTAGGTCAGTCACACGACTGCCCTGGACTGCATCTGAAAGCCAATGGACTCTGCTGCTGCGGCACTAGCAGCTTTCTTCCTCTTCACATCTCTCATGACAAGTGCGACATAAATAGATGCGATGACGGCAACAAGTAGAGCAAACACAGCATATCCTCCCTGCAAGGCAGTACCACGAGAGATACACACGCAAGGGGAAAGCACAGTGAGGATGAGAAGTGAGGAAGAATGAAGCCGGAAACAATATGACCCTAAATCAGGACGGGGTCTGCGCAACAATGCACGTGCATGCAGATTTGTGGGTTATGGTGGTGTGCAGTAGCCTGTATCAGTGCGCCTATAATCACAAATACTCACCACAACTCCAGTAGCGAACTTGTTACTATAGAGGGCGAGCCCAAGGAAACAGTTGATCCAGCCAAGAGCCACGCCCACCACGCCCACCAACCAATGCAGCATACGCCACCTCCCACGCGTCCAGCTGGTGTGATGCCATTGGCCGGCAGAGTCAGAAGAATCTGACGCAGACGGGCGGGAGGTCGGGCGAAAGTAGACGAGAAGAGGCTGGAGGGCAACGAGGAGGAGGAGGATGAAAATGCCAATCCAGGCGTGGGTATACTGGAACCCGTGGGACCCAGATGTGACAAACGCCGTGATGCAGCCGGCGCAGATGCAGACGATTGCAGCCACTTGCAGGTACTTGTGCCATGCGAACCAGAACTTGCGACGCGAATCGTCCAATATCGAGTTATCAATTTGAGCTGCTGAAGAGGAGGAAAACGAGGAGGAGGAGGGATGGGAATCTGTGCTGTTTGCATCGGAGAGGTGGAGAGGGTTGGAGGAGAGAGAGGAGGGGGCGGTGAGGAAGAGACGAGCGATGATGATTGCGGAGGGCATGAGGAGGAAGAAGGCGACGGAGAGGAAGACAGCGTGAGCGACCAGAGCAGAGGAGGAGGAGGAGGGGGAGGCGGAGCGTCCAGTGGAAAAGTCGATAGTGGCTGACCCCCTGGGAGAGGCAGAGAGGAGAGTTGGGACGGGAGTGGGTGATCAGAGGGATGGGATAACTCAATCTCAAGGGGATGAATCAATACTGTAGAGTCTGGAGGCTGGCGATTTAGAATTACTAGGTAGTGGAAAATACTAGTTAGTTTTTGAGAGTGTACATTTGTTACTCAGATAGCCACCCCGCTGCGACTTCTACTTCTGCATGTTTGGGCTGTAAAACAAAGAACCGTTATCGTTCTCTTCCTCTTGATTTGCTAGAAGCCGTTTCTCAGCTGGCGCCACGCCGCCCCTCCGTTTCATCGACGAGGTAAGACACAGCGGCTAAAATCTCACATGCTGTCGTTTTGAGGCTTCTCAAAACTAGACTTCTATCACTCAGCCCACGACGCCCCTCCGTTTCATCTACAAGTGAAGACACCAGGGCTAAAATCTCACATGTTATCGTTTTAAAGCCCGAGTCTCATAACTCTAGGATCCGACCAAGTGTAAAATGCTTGGTACCCAGTTACGCTGGCGAATATGAAGGGGCAGCCAAGTAAATGCCTCGGACAGTGCGTTTCTTGCTGGGGGGCGAGACCAATCGTAAAACCAGCAGTGAAATATGAGAACGAGCAAGTTCCTGGAAGAACGCGGACGTTGGACCATTCGATCGTCTAGAAGTTTGGATGCGATGCGACGGTTCAGGGAGTGGAAGACTAAATCTACCGCTGTAAACGAAGTGGAAATTGGTTGTGCAGGAAAAATGGATTCTGCACCGTCTGATGTAACACGAACCTCCAGATTGATGTGCAAAACCTATCGCGAGCCAGCCTTCCCCAAACCTGTTTTTGGGTCGGGTGTTTTGCCGAAACAAAATGGTCTCGCCACTTGCGTTTCGTTCTCGCCATTTTTATTATACCTCGCCTACCAATCAGAGTTTGCCTGATCCAACCAAGTGTAAAACTCTAGAAATTATGAGACGGGGGCTTTAAGCACCTAAAAACTGAACTTCTATCACTCAGCCAATGCCACGCCGCCCCTCTGTTTAATCTACAAGTGAAGACACAGGAGCGAGAATCTCACATGTTGTCTCCGTGAATTGCGAGCTCTTGGGAGTGGTCCTGAGAATAGGCCCAGATGATGGTTGCAGCCTTGTGGTTACTGAACCAGGCACACAGACGCACTACAGCCCCCTAGCGCTATACCTCTCTCACACCCACGCACTCACATGTTGTCTCCGTGAAATGCGAGCTCTTGGGAGTTGTCCTGGGAGTAGGCCCAAATGATTGTTGCCACCTCGTTGCCGCTGAACGGCATCTGGTTGGGCAGCACACCACGTTCAAACCTGAGGAGAGGAAAATAAGGGGCAAGGGGTTGATGGGGTTGACACGGGTTGACACGGGTTGACAGGGGTTGACAGGGGTTGACGACAGGGTTGACGGGGTTGACAGGGGTTGATGGGTTCACGAGTTCTTAGAGGTTGACGGGGTTGCAAATAAGGATGGTGCACTTCTAAACAAACCATCCCCCACCACCCCCTGCGTCCCACCACTCCCCACCCACCTTCACCACACTGAACCCCTCACCTCATAACAGTTTTGCCATGCATTGGCTGTCCCCACAGCATCATCGGACGCCTCAAACTGCTCACTGGGTGCCACGCCACACGGATGCCAACAATTGACCCTCACATCCGACTCTCTGGGTCAAGAACCCCACTCCAACCCACACAGCTCCACCCCGCCCCACCCCACCCACCTTCACCGCACTGCACCACTCACCTCATCACAGTTCTGCCATTCGTTGACGTCCCAACCGCATCATTGAACACCTCAAACTGCACTCAGCTATGGACCCTAGCCCACTCCACCCCACTTCACCACACTTAACTCCATCTTGCCGCACAGCACCGCTGTCCACCGCTCACCTCATCACAGTTCTGCCATTTGATGACGCCCCAACTGCATCATTGAATACCTCAAACTGCCCTCAGCTATGGACCCTAGCCCACTTCACCCCACTTCACCACACTAAAATGCACTTCACCTCACCTAACCCCATCTTGCCACACAGCACCGCTGTGCACTGCTCACCTCATCACAGTTCTGCCATTCGACGCCGTCCCAACCGCATCATTGAACACCTCAAACTGTCCAGTGGGTGCCACGTCAGCCTTCTCATATCCCTTGATGCCGTACGACCCCACTGCCGCCCCTGTCACTATGCTGCCACGTGGCAGGTTCCCAATGGCTGCCTCGCTCTCGGCCATTTTCCCGTCCTTGGACCAGCCGAGGCCAACCCAACCAGTGGTTGCCACGTCAGCAGCGAGGAGGATTGAGGTGTTGCGCCGATGCCAGTGCAGAACGAACCTGGCAGTGGTGGGGTGGGGAAGGAAGGGCGGGGAGGAAGGGGGCGAGGAAAGGGGGGGAGGAAGGGGGGGAGGGAGAGGGGGGAGGAGGGGGGGGGGAGAGGGGGAGGGAGAGGGGGGAGGAAGGAAAGGGGACGGAAGGAAAGGGGGGGGGAGGGAAAGAGAGGCGGGGAAGGATTGAGGTGTTGCACTGGTGCAAGTGCAGAACGAACCTGGTAGGGGGAGGGGGAGCAGGGGAGGGGGGGGGGGGTGGTCCCACGGGGAATGGGGGCAAATTAAAATTTGTGGCCTTTACTGGGGAAGGGGCTGCAATCACGTCATAGGAATTTAAATTTCAGGCGCCTCAAAACTGGAATTTGAGGCCTACCAGGGGAAGCGTCAGCAATCACCTGCACCTGTCCCTCGCCTCTCCCCTTGCAACTGTAGCACGCAACTGTAGCATGCAGCTGAAGCCCAGCCTGGCGGGACAGCTGAGACCTGTAGTGTGTTACAGCCCTGTGCATGTAGCTACAGCTACACCACAGCACAGCTACAGTCTCACTCTCTCCCTGCAGCTGTAGCCGGCAGCTGTAGCCGGCAGCTGTAGGCCACCACAGGACATCTACAACCGCCTGTGTCTCTAACCTCTGGCTCGCAATTTTCCCTACAGCTGTAGAAAGGATGTGCCTGAAGCTGAAGAGCGCTACAAAAGAGCTGCAGGTACAGCTATAACCCAACAACAGAATCATTTGTACGCAGCTGAAGCACACAGCTGTAGCACGGCAGTGTAGACCATGGGCAGGAGAGCTGCGATCTGTAGCACGCTACAGCCGCACTGGTGAGGCTAGACCATAGCACAACTACAGCCTCACCTGTTCCCCTGCAGCTGTAGCATGCAACTGTAGACAGGTAACGATGACCACTGGCAGGAGAGCTGGGACCTGAGTGCGCTAGAAAAGAGCTGCAGGCACAGCTACAACCTAGCTACAGCCCCACCTGTTCCCCTGCAGCTGTAGCATGCAACTGTAGACAGGTAACAATGACCACTGGCAGGAGAGCTGGGACCTGGAGTGCGCTAGAGAAGAGCTGCAGGAGCAGCTACAACCCAGCTACAGCCCCACCTGTTCCCCCAGCTGTAGCATGCAGGAGAGCCTCGATCTGTAGCACGCTACAGCCGCACAGCTGGACAGCTACATGCACAATGCAACACTGTCTACAAACTCACCTGTTCCCTTGCGCCTGTAGCATAAAGCTACATGCACACTGCTAGCGCACTGTAATGCTGTCTACTGACTCACCTCTCCCCCTGCAGCTGTAGCATGCAGCTGTAGCCCGGTGGCAGGACACCTGAAGCCTGTAGCATGCTAAAAAAGAGCTACAGGCACAGCCACAACCTGGCTACGGACTCACTTCTCTCGCTGCAGCTGTAGCATGCAGCTGTAGCCCGGTAGTGTAGACCGCTGGCATGCCAGCTTAGATCTGTAGCGCGCTACAGAAGGCGTGGCACAGGAATAGTCGACGCGGAGAGCGCCCCTGGGATAGAGTGCCCGGGAGAGAAGAGGGGAGGAGGGGGAGGGGAAGGGTGGGGGTCGGGGGGAAAGGGGGGCGGGGGGGTAGGGCAGAAGGTGGTTGGTGGGGGAGGGAAGGAGGGGGATAGAGGATAAGGATCTGTAGCACGCTACAGCCGCACTGGCAGAGGCGGGGCCAGAACGAGTGGCACAGGAATAGCCAATGCGATGAGATCCCCTGAGAAAAAAGAGAGAGGCGCGGGTCATTCAGCAGGGGTGGGTGGCTAAAAGAATGGGGGAGTGTGGGCATATGGACGACAGGAGATGGCAAATTTACCGCGACTATTGTACTCAAGAAGCTCGCCCTGGAATACATTTATTGATTCGACTAAAAAAAATGGTGAGCGGGGGGGTATGGACCATGCGGTGGCACCCACCCAGCCCAGGGGAGGTGAGGTGAGGTGCCACATGCAAGCACATACGGTGAAACCCACCCATTTTCATATACATATGCAGATATGCACTCATACATAGTAATGTGCATATATGTATGTTATGTATGTACATAAGAAAACAAGCACATACTTGTTGCCTCCATGATAGGCCAGCTGCCGCGATCCGTTCTGAGCGTATGCCCAGATCATGTGGTTCACGCCCAGCGCTTTAATCGGCATAAACCCGTCCAGCTCCTCCCGGCGGGTGAACCTGGAAAATAGGAGTGTTGGGGAGCGAGGGAGGAGAGGGGGAGGAGAGGGGGAGGAGAGGGGGAGGAGAGACGGAGGAGAGAGGGAGGAGAGAGGGAGGAGAGAGGGAGGAGAGGGGGAGGAGAGGGGGAGGAGAGGGGGAGGAGAGGGGGAGGAGAGGGGGAGGAGAGGGGAAGGAGAGGGGGAGGAGAGGGGGAGGAGAGAGGGAGGAGAGAGGGAGGAGAGAGGGAGTAACATGGCAGCTCGTCTCCCCGCAGCTGAGGAACATGGAGCCATCTTTACTCCTCGTCCACTTCCACTCCCTCTCATCGTACTTCAGCACGTTGGTGTGCTGCGCTCCAAACCAGTCACCTCATATCCTGTGATACAATGCGGCACCACATGCCCCCTCTCCCTTCTCCCACCCACCCCCCTATCATCTCACCTCATAATCACAGACCCGTCCTTCGCCTTAGTCCAGTTCCACGCCCGCTCGTCGTAGTTCAGCCCGTTGGTGCGCTCCAAGCTAGACACCTCATACCCCGTGATGTAAAACGGCAGCACGGATTCTGAGGGTAAACCACCCTGCAGAGCTGAAGAGGGTATTGCAGCGCCCCCGACAATAGCATCTGCAGGCACCATGTGGCCTTCCAGGGACCATCCCACTGCTATCCACCCTGCTGTGTCTGCTCCGCTGCCCGGCCTTGCCTCTACTGCCATGTTCATCAGCTGAGGGGAGACGTGCGTCCAATGCAGCAGGAGCCTGGGGAAACGGGGAGAGGGGTGGGAAGAGGAGAGGGCGACCCTTTCTGGCTATTTTACCCTCTCTGGCTCTTTTGCCCGCTCTGGCTATTTCACCCTCTCTGGCTCTTTCACCCTCTCTGGCTATTTTACCGTCTCTGTCTCTTTTACCCTCTGGCTATTTTACCCTCTTTGTCGCTCAGTAAAGCAGGCAGGCCCAGGACGTTACAGCCGACAGCAGCAGAATACGAGAGGATTGGTTTTCACAAGGACAAAAATGTATTAATGCGTGAATATCTGAGTAGCTGGGCTGCGCACCCCTTGCCGTTAAGGTCGACGGAGTTGTTGAATCCCGTCAACTTAGACGGCTGGCAGGCAGCCACCGGCGTCAGCAGCGTATCCAGCTCACTGTCCGCCCATTCCGCTTGCTCCTCGTAGAAATCGTCATCGGGAGGTCCCAACCAATCAGCGTTCTTCCCGCCATTCATCTCCGCGTAATCCGGCAACGAATCCAAAGGCGACGATCCGTCGCCTTCCGTGAAATTTCCGTCCTGGTTGAGCCAATCCCGCTTAAGCCATTCCTCGGCGTCCGTTCCGCTCACGTCAGAAAAATTGTCCGTCGGGTCATTGCCGCTGGTAAATTCGTCCGTCGGGTTTCCATCAGGTTCTGTGGTTCCGTCAGTGTAATCCGGCAGAGTTCCGTCACCTGACGGATCGACCGTCTGCGTCTCGTTATTAAGTAACCCGGTATCGTTACTGCTAGGGGGAAAGGCATCACCGCTTGCGTTTGCTGAAGTGTCAGTGGAGTTCAAGCCGCTCCCTTGCGATTGGCCGACGGCACGGGTAGCTAGACAAGCCAATAGGAGCACGACAAGTGTCAGAATAACTTCTGATCTCAGGCACGAGAAGCGAGGCCGTAGTAGTGCTCCCATACTGCTAATAACGGAGCAGCTTGCAATAAGTTACAGGTTGACAGAGGCAGACACCGAATCAGGTAGCTCCTTGCGTCTCGGGTGACACGATATGACCTAGGGGACAGAACGAGAGTCAGGTTCGCACATTACGTTTTGTAAAACATTTTAGAAGTCAAAGCTGCGTGCTATTTGCCAGAAATGGCTGTAACAGCAGCGTGGGGGACGGCGTTATATAAAGCTGGCGTTACATGCCTGTCATAGAGCTATGACAGAAAGGTGTGGTTTGAGGTAAGGGGCGCTGTGCGAAATTCAAGGATTGAAGCAAGGTGGAGCGGGGAGTGGGAGGAAGGGTGGAAACAGGCTCAGAAAAACACTCTTTGCTAAGTGTGGCAGCTAGTTTCGGTCTGTGTGGGTAAAAGCTGTAAGTACTCGCACCTGGACTGATCTGCCAACACCAACTGGAAACACGGAGTGTGTCTCCACCTCCACCTCACCGAATCCGTCGGCGCGTTCCCTAGGCGCGGCTCCGAGATGCGCCTGACACACCTTCACCAGGAAACAGCACGGATGGAACCGTGGCTTGGTGCAGGTCAATCTCGATAGAAGCAACTTATGGTCCAGACTACACATTAGTACCTCACTTCGTGATACATGTATTGACTTCAACTGATAATTCTTCAAGAATCAAGTGAGACACTAAGATTGACAAGCTAGGCTGCTCTAATATGAGTTCGGCAACGTTTAACCTACATAAGCATACAAATGGTACACCTTAATTGACAAAGTCTTACTAAGGACCCTCTCGTCCATCCTTCCCTTAGCCCTGGTGCTTCATATCAGCCTCATTGACATCCATACGCAGACCATCCCCACCATTTTGGCTGGGCAGGGCGCAAGCAGCAGCAGGCAAGGGGAATAGCTTCTGCCTCCGCAACCATAGAAGCTCTTGATGGGGCGAAGACCCCTCTAAGGGGTTGGTGGTGGTGGAGTCCTCACATGGCACATCTACTTGGATAAGACTCTGCTGCTGGAGCATCAGCAGGGCGTCGGTTTCCTGCGGGGTAAATTCCCCTCCATGGTACACTCGCCAGCCTGAACGGAGCAAAAGGAGCGAGAGAAGCGATGAGTGGTGGAAAGGGGAGACAACAGGACTAGGGGAGTGAGAGGTGACACGGAGAGAGGGAGAGGGAGAGGGAGAGGGAGAGGGAGAGGGAGAGGGAGGGAGAGAGGGAGAGGGAGAGGGAGAGAGGGAGGCCCACGTAATGACAGGAGTGGGGTTGGCCTGTGAGGAGTGTGTGGCAAGAGAGGTATCAATGGCACTGCTCCTTGGCAACTCACTTGCATCAATGGCGGACAGCAGCTGTTGGTGCAGCTCAGCACTGCTCGACGCCACTATGCCTCTATCGAGCGTGCTTAAAAAGCGGCCCTTGGTGAAGTCCAGAGGCTTGCCACCCGCATCCGTTACAATGCCGCCTGCTTCCTCTACAATCACCACCCCTGCAGCGTGGTCCCAGACCTTCTCCTGGTAACCGTTACGCGCGAATTTCATGAAAATGTCCGCATCGCCGCGCGCTATGGCGGCGTACTTTGCCATGCTGTAGACGCGGAGAGGGTCGTTACTGTAGGGTTTCACAGGGCGTAGAGGGTAGGCCGGGAAAGAGAAAGAAAGGATAAGTTAGGGAAGGAAGACAGGTAGGCATGGGGCTACAGCGGTGTACTTTGCCATGCTGTAGACGCAGAGGGGGTCGTTACTGTAGGGTTTCACAAGGGGTAGAGGGTAGGCCAGGAAAAGAAAGAAACAATTTGTTAGAGGACGACGGGTATGCATGCCACTATAGCGGCGTACTTTGCCATGCTGTAGACGCAGAGAGGGTCGTTACTGCCAGGCATAACAAGGCGTGTGGGATTCGATCAGGGAAAGAAACTGAGGGCGAGTGAGGGACGAAAGGCGTAGCAGCAGCGGGCTTTGCTGTGCAGAGAAAGTCGTTTCTGAAAAGTATCAGGGTGCATGGGGTGCATGGGGTGCATGGGGTGCATGGGGTGCATGGGGTGCATGGGGTGCATGGGGTGCATGGGGTGCATGGGGTGGATGGGGAAAGCTGAGATAAGAGTAAGGGCGGGCCAAAGCGACGAACTTAGGCATGCGGTGCATAAGCTAAGGGTTGAGTAAGGATGGGCCTCCGCATAGCTATGGCAGCAAGCATGTTTCCATAGGAGGTATGCCGAGTTCCGTCAAAACCTGATGCCATGTAAATGGGCGAGGCCGACTCAAAACCGGGTCAGCAGTCTACCAGTGACCTGGTGTGAGTGACCTGGTTTGAGTTGGCACTGTTCACCTGGTCAAGTGCTTCCATACGTGATCACCAGGAGGTCCGCCAGGCCTGCTGTGGAAGTCTGATTCGACGTCGCCCTCTCCACCAGACATGGAAGTCCCTTTCCTCACCTGTGCGGTGTCCGCGCAGTAATCTCCCTCACTAAGACAAGTAGTCTCCCCTCACTAAAACAATTAATCTCCCTCAAATAAGTAAAACAGGTAATCTATCTCACTAAGACAAGTAGCCTCCCTACCTGATTCCCAGGAGGTCCGCCAGGCCCGCCGTGAACGTCTGGTTCGAGTTCGTCTTCGGCCCCGGCAATTGAGAACTCTCCTCAGCCGCGACAAGAGGTCTCGCATACCCAAGGCACCTACGGTCTGGGGGAACCCCTGCCCATTTGTTTCCATACCTGATTCCCAGGAGGTCCGCCAGGCCCGCCGTGAACATCTGGTTCGAGTTCGCCTTCTCCACCGGTTCGCAGAACGTCGCACTGCTCGGCTCGCGCACGGTGGACACGTGGGCGCGAGCCACGTGGCGGTCTGAAGAGTTCGCTGCTGCGCGCCAATTCGGGTCCAGCTTCGTGCGGCGACTACTGCTGCCGCTGCTGCTGCTGCCCCTGCTGCTCCCGTTGCTGCTCCTGCCCCCGGTTCGGGGAACCTTCGCGGCGACTACTGCTGCAGGATTGCCTTCTACAAGCGGTTCGACGAAGGCGCCATGGCCCCGGAGCGCCTTCAGCACCACTCCCTCCCCCCAGTCGCGGGACGGGAAAAGCTTCGAAGTGATCCGGTGGAAGCGGTGCGGGTGCCGCAGCCATCCCGGCCTGACCGGAAAATTCGGGCAGCCTAAAACGCCGAGTTTCAGGCTGCCCGAGTCTAGCAACGCCAGCGCGATCGCATACTGATCGTCCCGAACGAATCCGAGCGTGCCGTCTACAGGATCTAATATCCAGTGCCTCCCAACCGCGCCGCCTTCTGACGAACCGCGACTAATTAACTCCAGCACCTCCGGTGCCTCTAGCGGGCTTTCCGGTGGCTCAATACCGACCAGACGCGCCTCGGCGAGGCACTCGTTAACTACGCCGACGAGCCGCGCGAGAATCGCGGTTCCCGCGTCGCTCGTCAGCTGCTTAGTATCTTCCTCTGCTACCATAGATACCACCTCCCCCGGGTAAGCCTGCTTCAGGACCCAGCTAACGACTGCCTGAACGCCCCAGTCTGCTACAGTAACGTACGACCTGTCCGGCTTGGAGCGCGTTACATCTTCTGCCTCGCGCCGCAGCTGCGCCTGAACCTTCTGCGTGAGACGACACGACAATTGAACCGCGCGTTCGGCCACCGACAGATCGTAGTCCTCCGCCTCGCCCGCCGCCGCCGCCGGATCGTGCGGCTTCGACGATCCTTCGCGAAACGCCGAGACTCGCTCCCTGGCCGACGATTGTCGCGGCGAATCGACATGCGACGATTCGCGACGCAGCGAAGAAGCATCTCCATAAGCGTCCAAAAAATCCGCCTCCTCGAATGGAAAATAAGGCGATTGGAGATCGGGAAACGCGATCGTACTAGTGGTGGTAGGGGAGGAGGAGGTGGGGGTTCGAGACGGCATGGTCGTTCTTAACGTGGCGCTGCGACTCCCCGTCGCGACGGCTGCCGCCACCACGTTGCGCTTGCCGCCGGTCCCAGTTACGCTTGCCCCACCACCACCGGATGATGCGGTGTTACCTGGAGCGGTAGAAGGCGCTGCGGGGGAGATTGCGGACGCGCCGTCGGTAGACGCGGCGGCAGCTGCGGCGGCGGTCGTCGGCTCGTGCATCATCGCGATTCGGCTTCTCCTCTTCGGTTGCTGTGCTGGTGAGCCGAGCCGCGGTTGCGGAACGGGAAGGGACGGGGCGGTGTGTAACGGCGACATGGTCTTGAGAGGCTGGAGAATTAACGATGACGGAAACGGATTCTGGGAAATCCGATCCGTCTCGTGACTGGACGAGCAGGCCGGTGTTCGCAAGTTAGCTGCCTTGGCGGGGCTGCCGCCGCAATTCACGGCGCGAGGTTTGGAAGGTGAATCGTGCGGTCTGCTACTGGAAAGTGAACCGGCGATTGCTGTCGCTGCAGTGACACTGTTGAGGCACGCGACGGGATGGCGTAGGAGGTCCGACATAAGTGAAGACCGTCAAAAAGCAGGAAGTTAAATAAGTGTAGCTTCGAGACGTTTAAAAGTCGAACAAAAAAAGGTCGTCAATAGCTCCTAATTTTTCCCTCAAATTGCGAGGAGATAATAAATTATGAAAAAAGGGCTGGGCTAGAGATGACGGGACGAGTGGCGAAACTCAGGAGGATTCAGGAAGCTGAGAGGTGGATGGAAGAATGAGCCGAGGACTCTTGATGCGATATGAGGCGCCTCGAAAAGCTGGAACGTGCTAGATGGAATCGAAACGACGCTTGCTGGGCTAGCTGCTTAATTGCTGCTCCGATTGCCGTGCTTGCTGTGCTTGCTGCGATTGCTGCTGAAACTGCTGCTGTGCTTTCTGCTGCGGAAGTTGAGATAGCTGCGTTTGTTGAGCTTGGGTCAGTCCGAGGGGGACTAGGACCTACAAGGCTGATCGAGACTCATCTGTGAAGGCCAAACAGGCCAGCGGTTTGCGATGTGCTATCTGCGCATGGCGAACTAATCCGATCTGACAAAATGGCTGCCTAACTGGAGTTTTTCGACAGGTTCCTAAAATTCGTCACGGAGTGCGAGCTGCTCGAGGTTTGACTCTGAAGTAGCAGGCAATAATGGCTTTTGAATATGATGAACGAGCTTATCCTGGTAGTCTCTAGAGAATGTGCAGAAGCTTGCATAATCAAGGAAGAGGAAAGGACAAGATCATAAGATCAGGGAAGGAGTAGGGATGAATATCGATGGGGAGGGGAGGGGAGGGCAGGGGGGATAGAGCAGGGAAATGGAGCTGCAGGCAAGGAGGGGTAGAGGAAGAGAAATACGGAAGGGGAGAAAGCGGAGCGGAAGAGGGAGGTGGCGGAAGAATGGAACGGCGGAAGACGAAGAGGAAGGCGGAGAAATGGAGGCAAGGGGGAGGAGAGCGGGTGAGGGGGGGAGAGGCTTGGGCGGAATGGGATGGGATGGGATGGGATGGGGGAGGGTTTGTGTGAGAGAAGGGAGTGTTCTTGTGCTGTACAAGATAGAGAGGTACGCGACGCGCAGGAGGTTCACCTATGAGGCTGTGACACGTCAAAGGGATCAGGGAGATTCGCCATCCGTATGGAGCCGTGCGGTGGTTTGTGGTGGTGATGGTGGATGTGTCATCATTCATTGGCCTTGGGGTTTTCATTCCATACGGCACGCCTTGGGGTTTTACTGTACTCCTCTGCTTGGCTCCATCTGGCCGATCCGTCTCTTGTTCATCAAATCAACCCTCGTCAAGGCATACGTACGTACCCAATCCAACCCCAACAACGCGATTCGCATCACTCCGCCGTTGTGCACAGTAGTTTCGACTGGGCACAGCGTGTGCGTGCATGTGGAATTTCGCTTGCGGCAGCTCACTTCGCGCCGCTAACAACCTCAGAGATATCTCAAACGTGCGCTGGAAGTAAGTGGCGTGTGGCACGGTGACATGTGGCATGTCTGAGCCACCAGAAGATCCACCCCGCAGATTGAACGAGGGAGATGCGCATATGCTCTGTCGAAGCGTACAGAAATATTGTGTAAGCGTGCGAGCACCAGCGAGGAAACCCAGACTGACCTCTCCCACTCAGAACCACTTATGTTTGACGCAGCAGCAAAGGGACAGTGTGGTTCTTTAGCCTTGCAAAACTTACTCAAACCTTGCGCTTCGGTATCGAGGGAATTCGGGGCCTACCCGTCGGTCCACTTAAATGATCGAAGCGACACTATCAACGCATCTACAATCCGCCACCCAACCCAATGGCACTTGCACCATGCCAGTTACCGATGCTGGACACAGAAATCCAAGGGGTGTATAAGTGTGCTCTTTCCACAGCTCTTGACAATCTACTTTGATATCGAAATAGTCAGGGTAATCAGAAAATAAAACAACGAGACTTCCATGCACCACGCCTCACATAGCGATTGTGGTGGATATAACTGGAAACGTGTGGTTGTTGGCTTGTTTGGCTCGACGTGAGGACTCAACGGCTACCCGAAAACGTTCGCCTGTCCGTCGTCTAGTCCGCCGCAATTTTCGTGCTAGCGTGGCACGGATGATCTCCGAAGGTGGTGACCGAAACCGTGGAACGAGCGCGCGACACGTGTATTCCAGCCTGTTCCCGTCGGCGGCATCTCAAGTCCCGCCATTTCCCTGCTGTGGACTCCCAACTCTGTCATTCGTTCCACGCCAGATCCCTGCTGTCGTTCCGACACCTCCGTCATTGGTTGCTTGCAACCAGCGCGGAAATTTATCACAGGACGGATTGTGACAATTGGGCTTGTGACAACTAACAGGTCGTCTCCCCGCCCTAGAAACAGCCCCCGATTGTACCTCACCCACCTTCAAACAAAAACGCAGGTGATGATATCGGAGATGTACAGCCTCATTAATAAAAACAGTTTTAATGGTGATGCATTATTAACCATTAGCACGTTGCATACACATTACCCCGCCCAACCCATGCCCATGTGCGCTTACTGATAAATCACCCAAGCCTAACCCCTTCATCTCGACCTATAAATAGATAGCAGACCTCCATAGACCACCATAGATAACAGGCCTCTACACATCCTTCACAGACGCCCGGAACGAGCGGCACGACTTGACGGCCTCGTTGGCGGTGAGGAAGAGCCACTCCTCCCCAAGGGTGTCCAGCACGCCCGAGACAGCAAGCTTGCGCAGCACCATCTTGGACGGGTTGCTGATGCCGAGCTGCACGTTGTTCTTAGAGAGGATGGAGTGCAGCTCCTCGATCGAAGTAGTGCCCGACGAGTCAATGTCCGGCACGGGGGTGAAGTCCAGGATGAAATGCTGTGTGGTGAAAGAAGAGGGGAATAATCAGAGATAAGCAAGGAAGCGCCTCAACATGGTTAAGGACAGTGATCCTCACATCAAGGCTGAAGTCGTGCTGCTCAATCAGGCTCAACGACTTCTCCGGGTTGACTTCATATAAGAGCAGTTTCATAGAGCTATGGAAAGGTAACAGGTAACTTACAGTGATCTTTCACGTCGTGGCTGAAATCGTGCTCCGCAATGAGGCTCACCAACTTCTCCAGATGTTCACGTGAAAGTAATCTTATGGAGCAATAAAACGAAAAACTAGCAGCAGCTTACAGTGATCTTCACGTCGTGGCTGAAGTCATGCTCCTCAATGAGGCTCAGGGACTTCTCGCGGATGTAGTTGGCATTCGGGAAGTACACCGGGCCGTCAACGCGCAGCACGAACACCCCCTCCTCAACAATAGCACCGTCATACTGCTTAATGTTACGGTACACTCCAGTACCCGGTACAAGACCGAGCGTGGAGAGCGGAGGCCTGGTGACCTGGATGATCAGCTTCAGCGTTCCCAAGGACACGCCGACAAGGAGACCAGTTTCCACGGAGTCAAAGAGGATGCCGAGGAAGGTTCCGAGAAGGATCAGGAAGTCGAGCTTGTCAGTCTTGAAGGTCTTGATGGCAGCGGGAATGTCAATCTGGGAAGAAGGTAGTACATATCGGAAAAAAAGGGGAAAAATAGGAAAGGTGGTTGAAGGGTACAACAGTAAAGCGGATTCTGCACCCTGTAGAACAACGGGTTTGAAATGGAACTAAAATGAAACTTGGAAGATTTTAGCTTTGTCGACGCAATTAAGTGCTTGAATGGCCTTACCAGCCCGAGCACAGCCACAATAATGATTGCAGATAGCACAGCCTGCAAAATCAAGAAAAGGCAGACAGAAGAAGCAACAGAGAATTAGCATCAAGTAGCAGGGTTTACTTGCGACAAGAAAGCAGCGCACCAGGCGTTACTAAAGAAGGGCCAGTCATCACGTCCAGAGAAAGGGCAGATCATGCTTTCGCTAGATGCGTCACTCACACTTGGGAGATACTGGAAGACGGGGGTGATCCAAAGGAGAGTTACGAGGACGACCAGCGACATAACGATGTTTGTGAGCATGGTGGATCCACCCGCGTTGTAGTTCACAGCCGACCGGGAGAAGGAACCTGCAGGGGCAACAGGGCGAGAAAGGCAGGAGTGGAGAATAAGGCGCAGTGATGGGGCCAGCAAGAGGAGAGATGGGGCCAGCAAGAGGAGAGATGGGGCCAGCAAGAGGAGAGATGGGGCCAGCAAGAGGAGAGATGGGGCCAGCAAGAGGAGAGATGGGGCCAGCAAGAGGAGAGATGGGGCCAGCAAGAGGAGAGATGGGGCCAGCAAGAGGAGAGATGGGGCCAGCAAGAGGAGAGATGGGGCCAGCAAGAGGAGAGATGGGGCCAGCAAGAGGAGAGATGGGGCCAGCAAGAGGAGAGATGGGGCCAGCAAGAGGAGAGATGGGGCCAGCAAGAGGAGAGATGGGGCCAGCAAGAGGAGAGATGGGGCCAGCAAGAGGAGAGATGGGGCCAGCAAGAGGAGAGATGGGGCCAGCAAGAGGAGAGATGGGGCCAGCAAGAGGAGAGATGGGGCCAGCAAGAGGAGAGATGGGGCCAGCAAGAGGAGAGATGGGGCCAGCAAGAGGAGAGATGGGGCCAGCAAGAGGAGAGATGGGGCCAGCAAGAGGAGAGATGGGGCCAGCAAGAGGAGAGATGGGGCCAGCAAGAGGAGAGATGGGGCCAGCAAGAGGAGAGATGGGGCCAGCAAGAGGAGAGATGGGGCCAGCAAGAGGAGAGATGGGGCCAGCAAGAGGAGAGATGGGGCCAGCAAGAGGAGAGATGGGGCCAGCAAGAGGAGAGATGGGGCCAGCAAGAGGAGAGATGGGGCCAGCAAGAGGAGAGATGGGGCCAGCAAGAGGAGAGATGGGGCCAGCAAGAGGAGAGATGGGGCCAGCAAGAGGAGAGATGGGGCCAGCAAGAGGAGAGATGGGGCCAGCAAGAGGAGAGATGGGGCCAGCAAGAGGAGAGATGGGGCCAGCAAGAGGAGAGATGGGGCCAGCAAGAGGAGAGATGGGGCCAGCAAGAGGAGAGATGGGGCCAGCAAGAGGAGAGATGGGGCCAGCAAGAGGAGAGATGGGGCCAGCAAGAGGAGAGATGGGGCCAGCAAGAGGAGTGATGGGGCCAGCAAGAGGAGTGATGGGGCCAGCAAGAGGAGTGATGGGGCCAGCAAGAGGAGTGATGGGGCCAGCAAGAGGAGTGATGGGGCCAGCAAGAGGAGTGATGGGGCCAGCAAGAGGAGTGATGGGGCCAGCAAGAGGAGTGATGGGGCCAGCAAGAGGAGTGATGGGGCCAGCAAGAGTGATGGGGCCAGCAAGAGGAGAGATGGGGCCAGCAAGAGTGATGGGGCCAGCAAGAGGAGTGATGGGGCCAGCAAGAGGAGTGATGGGGCCAGCAAGAGGAGTGATGGGGCCAGCAAGAGGAGTGATGGGGCCAGCAAGAGGAGTGATGGGGCCAGCAAGAGGAGTGATGGGGCCAGCAAGAGAGACGTGAAGGATGTTAGAGAGCATGGTGGAGCATTGCAGTTGACAGCCAGGGTACAACAAAGAGGGGACAGCGATGGGAGGCGATGGGAGGCGATGGGAGGCGATGGGAGGCGATGGGAGGCGATGGGAGGCGATGGGAGGCGATGGGAGGCGATGGGAGGGGATAGACGCGGACGGAAGGGAAGAAGAGTGGAACCTGATGCTGGCCGAGAGCATGCAAAGGAGGCTGCAAACAGCGTCAGGGATAAATCACAAAAAAGGAGAAAAAAGGATAACCAAGGGGAGTAACCATACCAGTGGTGACGTAGCTGGAGGAGAAGGATCCAACGATGTTCATTGCACCGAGAGCAACCATCTGAGACGCACAACATTTACAATTAAGAACTTAGGGAAGACATGATATATTTCGGAACACTTGGCGAGAGGGGAGGACGCAAACATAACGAGTATAGTACGGCTTATAGCGAGTCCACGTGATATTTTTCCAGCGAGGCGAAGGTGCGTGCGATGGCGGACGCTTCCTACTGTGAAGCTAGATGTCTCACACCCAGTCACGTAGTCCATGCAACTCACCTCACCAACATTCTCTTAACAACCCTAGACGCCTCACCTCCTTGTTGCCGTCCACGTGATATCCTTCCAGCGACGCAAAGGTGCGCGCGATGGCGGACGCTTCCTGCAATCCAAGGCCGGGAAGTTTTTGAAAAGAGAAATAAAAGGGATTCAGAAATTCATCAGGATTTCGAAGAATATATGAAGGTGTAGAGACAAGCATTGCAATATATGAACATCACCATACGAATATACAAGTACAGACGGAGATGCTTACAGTGAGAGCGACGAGTCCGGCAATCAGCCCGACGACAGCAGCGCTCCCAGCGTCCTTTCCGGTGAGCTGGAGCCGCTTGAGCGAGCCGAGACTCGCGAGGCCCTTGGGCATCTCCTTAACGCAGGGGATGGCCTTGTTGGCCTTGGCGCCCCACACGGCGAGCGTCACGATGACGACAGCAAGGAACGGCCCCAGGCAGTTGGCGTAGAAGAAGACGGTCCCGAGGGGCTTCTTCTTGGCGAAGTACCACGCCTGGGGGGATTCGCGAGGAAAGGGGGGAATCGGGAACGAAAGGAGGGAGCAGGTAGGGGTGAATCAGAGGTGTACGGCGAGCGAGGAAGAGCCCCCCACTAGGCAGCTGGCGTAGAGGAAGACTTTTGAGACGGTCCTGAGGAGCATCTTGGCGAAGTTCCAACCTGGGGGGTCCGGGGGGGGTACGGTGGGGGTACGGTGGGGGTACGGTGGGGGTACGGGGTGGGGAGGGGGGGAGGGGGAGCGAGTGCAGGAACGGGGGAGCCAGGCAATTGGCGTAGAAGAACACCGTCCCGAGGGGCTTCTTCTTGGCGCAGTACCACGCCTGGGGGGAACGGAGAGGGGGGGGCGGGGGGGAGAAAGGACGAGGAGAGACGATGAGAGACGGGGGAAGGCGGTTGGAACTGGGCTGGACGGGCGACTTGAGACAGCGGGTCCGGTGAGGAGAGACAGCGGGTAGAGAGGCGGTGAGGGGTCAGAGAGAGCGAACCAGGAATCGGAGCGTGGCAAGCAAAAACGAGGACGGAGATACCAACGAGAAAGGGCGAGAGACAGGCAGAGCGAGCGACGATGGGCGGTGAGGAGAGACGGCGGGTCAAGAGGTGGTGAGGGGGCAGAGCGAGCGTACGAGGAATCGGAGCGTAACGAGGAAAACGAGAACGGAAAAGCCAACGACGAACGCCTTCCAGTTGAACTGTAAAAGGGAAGGCATGGGGAGAGCGAGAGGGGGATGGGGGGGAGAGAGGGGGGGAGAGAAGGGGGGAGGGTCGGGATTAGCAAAACGTAGAGGAACCGACGAGAAACACATTCCGACTCAACTGCAGTGTGAGAGCAGGATGAGGTGAAGAGAAGAGGGTTCTGCTACTAAAGCCTGGCCTGAATAATATTAGTGACGCGGCGCTAGCATGAATTGATAATGATCGACTCGGGGGACGGTGGAAGCAGGAGGGGAGGGGGAAGGGGAGGGGGAGCGGGAGGGAAGGGGGAGGGGGAAGCAGGGGGGGAAGAAGGGGGAGTGGAAGGGGAAGGTGAAAGAGTTAGCGAGTGAGAGCAGCGCACCTGGCTCGTGTTCTTGAAGACGTACGAAAGCACGCTGACGATATCCGTGTCCTGGGTGAAATTCTTGTAACCGAGTAACCCCTTCAGCTGCTGCAGCGCAATTGTGATCGCGGCTCCGGACATGAACCCAACAATCGCGGCGTGGCTCAGAAATTCGATAATGAACCCGAGTCGGAAAATTCCCATCGCCAGCTGGTAAATTCCCGCGAAAAATGTCGCCGTGATCGCCAGGTTGAGATATTCATTCGCCTGGTTCACCGGGTCATAGTAGTCGACGAGCAATTCGCCGAGCAGCAGCGAAACCACGGCGACGGGACCGATGGCGATGTGGCGAGAGGTACCGAGAATGGCGTAGACGATTGGCGGCAGGAAACTACTGTCTGTTAGGGTTAGCGGGAGCGGGGATAGCAGGCACGCGAACCGAGGAGTAAGCATAAGCACGGGAACGCGAACGGGAACGGCTCAAAGCGCGTGCAAGTAAGCAAGCTTGGGAAAGGGACTTCTCCTCGTGTAGTCTAACGGTGGCGCCGCGGGAGCGAAGGGAGTGGAACGACAGCTTGATATAAGTTGACAGTACGGCGAGTAGACAACTCAAAAGACCCTCAGTGCTTTGCTGAATGACTTACAAAGGCCGTTAATCGGGGGGAGGTTGGCGAGACCCGCATAGCCCAGATCCTGAAAAGAAACGAACACTTATCGTAAAAAACGTGAGTTAAGGGACGAGCTAAGGCGGAAGACATGGAAGGAAAATCAAGATGAGAAATGCAGGGGTCAAGCGGCAAGCCGAAGAGGAGAATAGCGTATGGGGAACCTAAGTTTTGGTAAGTCGAATCTCTTCTCCCGAAACACTCGGGACAGTGAAGACCATAGGCCAAACGAACTCCGCAAAAGCCGACAGCGCCAATGACGTGTCACCCTCCCTCGCACACTGCTGCGCGTGCGGAACGCGTGCGACGGGTTACCTGAGGCACGGCGAGACTGGCGATGGTGAGGCCGGCGACGACATCGCCGAAGAACTGCGCCTGGAAGTTGTACTTGGAGCCCCAGTCGAGGATCGGAAACACGTAGAATAGAGCCAGCTTGGCGCGCTCTCCCGCGCTCTTGTCCCGGTAATTCCGGAACGGGTCCTCTTCGATGACGAGCAGCTGGCGGAACGGATTTGCGGTCTCGACGATCTCGTCCTTGATCGAAATAGGAGGGACTATAACCTTGTGCTCGCGATCCTCGTCGGCACCCATGTTGGCGAAAATTGGCGAAGACGGCTAAAGTTTGCAAGCTTGAACTTGGAAGCTGGAAGTTTGCGCAACACGGACGGCGGGTTAAGTGGAGGCAAGCTGACGACTCTTTAGCAGAGGAGGGGGAGACGGTTGTCAAAGGGTCCAGCCAAGTTCCCTTTCCTGGCCTGACTGTCGGACAGTCGAGTCGAGACGGACCGAAAGGGGTGTGAGTTAGTCTGACTCCCAAGGAGCCTAGGGTTTCACGACTTCAGGCGGGAAGGAACAAAGCCACACAGAGGACTTCCACTGATGAGGGTTTGTACGTCTTATGTCGATCGAGAGCCAACAGATGATATGGTTTCTGAGAGCGACCGTGCTGCTGCTGCCCCCCTCCCCTCGACACGACCCGACACGAGCGCTTGCGCTCGTGCCCTCGTCTCGTTCCCCCATTCCCGTCCCCCGTCTCTCCATTCCTGTTCTCGTCCGTTCCGTCTCCCCCCCATCCCTTGCAATCTGCGCGACGCCGCCGGACCTTGGCTCGATCAGCCGCAAAAGTCGTTTCAGAATCAGGGTGTCAGAATTCAGCTAATGTGAGATGGAACAAGGCACGGGGGAACTGTTTGAGGCATTGTGCCTGCCGTTGACCAAGCCCGTGGAGGAGGGTGAGATGCGATACAATACGGTTGTGAAGTCACTCCACATTTGGATGTGGCCGGATTCAGAGAACTAACAGCTCTGGGAAGGTAATCCGCTGGGTTCGGATCGGGAGAGACGGGGACCTGCTGTGTGCTTTGGCAGTCCCAGGAAAAGCATTAGAGCTTGCGCAAGTCGCGTCGGGCATATCCATGGTGGCAAGGTGCTTTGTGTGGGGCGTGAAGCTCCGCTATTTAGGGCAGGTCGGTCGAATGTGTTTCTTGGAGGTCTGGATTCGGGTAATTCGAAACTTCTGGCTGTGGGAAAGAATTTAGCACAAGAGAGCCCGAACCAATCAGCTCCAGCTGCAATGCTCCCATATGTTCAATCAAAGCCAATGGGAGCTAACACGGGCAGCAGCGAGGTGTTCTCTTATCGAGTACCTGCAGCCGAGGGGTTGGGGTGACTCAGCATGGCAGCAATCGCAGGGCGCCATCCAACCAGCCGGGCAGCACCACGCAAGGAGCGAGGGAGAGCTCAAGGTTTAATTCAACGCATCTAGACCAAATGAAAACCTCACCCACATCGCGGTTTGACCACGTGCAGCAGTTCGTACCGAAGATTCAAATTCCAGCTCCAGCGCAGCATTTCAACCCCACGCACACGAAAGACGAGCTTCGAGCGTGCCATTGATGGCTGGGAGCCTGGGAGGTGGTCTGGCAGGTGCCTGTCGTCTCGTTTATAACGAGAATGTCGCAAATCTGGCCGCTGCACTCAAACTCAGAAAGCTGGTATCAGTACACAGTCGTATATATACAGTTCCAATATATTCGTAGTGATTTGAAGGATTTGATTTGAAACCATGTGTTCAACTTTGTATGGCTTCACTTTTCCGTGCCAAAATCGATGTATTGAGGGGTGCCAAGTACGTTGCATTGTTTCTTTCTCTAGTTCCAGCAATGTACAACTATTGGATTCGAACGACTTGCTCCGTTGTTGTCACCCTTCATTTATCTGCCTGGACACTCTCCTCTCCTCCTAACCATAAAAATACAAGCAGCCTTCAACGCACTACTTCAAGACAACGGTGACAACATGCGCATGAGAGTCAGCATCTCTTGATTAGTCCTCGAGTGGTTTACGAATACGAATCGATTTGCAGCCCCATGGTCCCCTAGCCTACTGAAGAAATGCCATCTAGCAGACTAGAACCCACCAAGAGCTTACCCCAGCCTAGCCCAATCCTACATACACTGCAAAGAATGCCTCCTACCACATAGATTGCTATGGAGAGTACAGTAGATACACCCTTGGGATGGACCAGTAGGGAGGCAACGTGGCAACTTGCCTTGCTAACCTCTGCAAGGGTATCTTGCCATACCATGCCTTCCTTGCCCTAAATTAGTAGTCACACCAGAAGCAGAACAGGGGTTTGTACATTTGCCCGCGCCGCCACCCCTTGCTCGTCGTTGCGTTCAGATAATAAGCGTAAGGTGACGTGTAGATGTCATCGATCACGCTTGTAACGCTCAGGCCGTTGTACGCTACCACATAGGACGCATTCACGAGCCACGACGTGAGGCTGTAGTCGCCATCGTCCTTCACGGGCGTTCCGGGAACCACCAGCACTACCTTGCCTGTCGCGGTTGGAAGGCCCTGGCGAATCGTCATCGACTTGATTTTAGTCGACTTTGCCTTCGCCTCGAACTTGAAGGACACGATGCTATTATACCTGCGACCCGTAGCGGAAGGGGGGAGGGGGGGAATGGGGTGGAGTCGGGTGGGTGGGGGAGGGAAGGAGAGGAGGGAGGGGGGAATTTCAGCATCAATGCGGATTTAACCAGCACCGCAATCTTAGGGCGCGAACGTGCAGGAGGGCAGATCATTCTCGGTACCCCCGGAAAGTTCAGCCGCAGTCACAGCCCTGGACCCTTCCGCCTAAGGACCCTTCCGCCCCGGCCACAAAACCCTTACTCACATGGCCCTCATCCCCGAAACCCTTACTTCCGTGTACTTGGTGATCTCGAGCTTCGTCTCCTGGTCGCTGTCGTCGTCGTCGCCCTCCACCTCGTTGTAGTCACCCGCGTTCTCCACCTCGCTTTTATAATCCTATTTTGATTTGTTTCAAAACAAGGCCCCACACTCACGTGTACTTGGTGATCTCGAGCTTCGTCTCCTGGTCACAGTCGCCGTTGTCGTCTTCCACCTCGTTGTAGTCGCCCGTGTTCTCCGCTTTGCCCTTCAGCACGTCTGAAACGTTGCGCGTCAGGGGTGCGGCGGTGGCGGAAGGTTGCGCCGGCGAACCAGGCGGGGGCGGAGGCGGAAGCGGAACCAGGTCGAGAAGCAGGTGCGAGCGCAGGTGGCGGAATGTTCCGCCGGAGAACCAGGCGGAGGCGGAACCAGGTGGTGAAGCAGGTGCAAGGGCAGGTGGCGCGCGCCGAAGAGCCAGGCGGAGACGGGTCGTTCCAGAAGGGAGGAGGCAGGCAGTTTAGAGCACAAAAGTTGGAGATTACTAAACAGAAAAGAAAAAAGAAATAAGGGAAACGGGTCGCGATGCGCAATAGCATGTCAAGTTTCATGTCACCAACACAAGCGAAGCCTGGACTGGAAATGAATGCTCGAGAGGAGATTGCCGTACAGAGCTTGACGCCGGGGAAGGAGCTTTGCTTGTCGTCGCGAAGAGCTTTAAAAAACTCGTTCAGGAAGTCGGTGATGGCGGTGAGGTTGACGTTGGGGATTTGCGCGTTTGCTCGCTCCGCAACTCCCAAAACGAGCACGCAAACTACCAGGCCTGCACAATTGAAGAGGCAACGCGTGGGACAACGGAGAAGAGGAGTTTCCGGAGAGACTCGTTCACGAAGCGGGTAATGGCTGTGATGTTTCTTTCTTGACCAGGAGACTTGCGTATTTTCTCGCCCCGCGACTCCCAGCACGAGCACGCAACCAGCAGGCCTGCACGGTAACCGGTGACGGGTGGGAAGGAGCAGAAGGAGTGAAAACTCGTTCAGTGAGTCGGTAACTAACGTAATTCGTAATGTTGACCAGCGTGTCCTCCTCGTCCTTGACTCTTAGCGCGAGCACGCAAGCAGAAGGCCTACGCAGTAGCCGGTGACGGGTGGGAAGAAGCGGAAAGAAATGGTGAAAACTCGTTCAGTGAGTTGGTGACGAGCGCAGCGTTGACCAGCGCGGCCTCCTCGTCCCCGAATCTTAGCGCGAGCTCGCATCCGGTAGGCCTGCACACGATTTCACGCCTGGAAACAAGGCGCGAGACGCTATGATTCCGATGGAATTTCGAGAGAGAGAGAAAAAATCGCTGAAAGCGTCGCCTGTACACGATGTTCGAAAGTGTCGGGGCTCGTATAAGCGGGGTAGCTTACATGTTACTAGGGGCGAAATTGACCTCATTGTGCGTGGAGGCTAATGAAGCTTCGGTCGCGAGACGATACGAAAGCTTTGAAAGCAGGGAATATGTTTACGGGACGCCGGTGGTGAGCGGGTTTCGTCAGCAGGAATGGTAGAGAGAGTGGGCGAGCTGTAGCTGAAGCTCCTAAAGCTGTCAGGTTATCTGGGAGAATAAGTCTGGCACGATCAACTATTAGCAGCGCTGGAACGAGGCTGAAGAAATGTTGTTGGAAGGCTGCGATAATGGGCTCTTTTGTTAGCAAGAGCTGCGCGACAGTAAGTTGGGGCGGAAGCGCTAGTGTTGCTCGTGCTGCTCACGCCAAGCACCTGGCTGTAAAATGTATTTCGAGCAGGCGCTGTGTGCTAAGGAAGAAAGTGCCCAATTCTCAATTGGTGCCGTGCCGCTGTAGTTTGCCACAATGTGCTTTTCCCAATGTCGAGTTGGATTTTCGAGTCGCTGGCCACACGACTCGCACGGCGGTTCGGTACCCCTCGTTGCAAGTTTTATCCGAGCGTCACCCTCGATATTGGCACAAAGGGGTGGATACCGGTGGGTTGCCCAGGGCTACGGCAGCCGTGTCGCTGTAGACCTAAAACATCCGCACCAGTCATCGTTCTGAAAGCATCCCCCGAGCTGCCCCGCATTACAAATCGCCTGCCCCAGGCAAAAGTTTCCGTGTTTTCACCTTCCAGGGCTGGGAATGTTCTTATGGGAGCACCTCTTTCTAAGGCCGTATGCACATTTCACAGACCCTTCCAAATGTACAAAGGGTGGTTAACACAAATTCATCAAATATTTAATTTTAGCACATATTGCTTCCCCAGATATGGCAAATATGCAACTGTGATATTCCAGTTGAAAATGGAGAGAGAAATATGTGCCGCTGTGCTCCCCCGGAAACGGATTCGCTTGGGGGCGTACGTGCAGATCACGTAATGGAATGACTCATTTAAAATGTTGCAGGTACGTATCTTTCCCTTGTTGTAGTGCTTCTGCAACCACTCCCTAAAAGCCTTGTGTGTCGTTCTCTCATGCTGATAGATGGCAAACTCCTCCCCCATGCACCGGCTGCACATCGGAGCACCACGTCGTGGTGCGCAAGCATGAAGTGCTCTGTCATTATAGCTAGATCAAAAGCCACTTCCGTCACGATTATGGGCTTGCCCTCTTGTGTCAATTAGCTCCCTCGGCAATGCCTTGACCAAGCTCCAAGCCATGTGCCATACGTCCTGCTGGTGTTCCAACCCCAGCTCGGCTAGTACCGTCTTCAAACTAGTATCCCTATATGTTATGACACCGTGCATCATAAAAAACAAGGCTGTCAGCTCTTACATTGCCTACTCAAAAACCGAACAGACCGTGGCAGTCGACGAGATGCGGTACTGCCTTTTGTTAATTGTCACGCAATGCAATACATTTGTTGATTCCATATCTACCAGTGAAACTATACACTATTCACATTCCCTCGACCACCTTCCATATGCACTTATCCACAATTGCCGCCCCCCTCTCGACAAAACCAAATCCCTGACCTTTGTTATTGACACCTCACTTTGCCAGACAATACTGGCCCACAATCCTAGGGGTCCATCCATGTACTTATAGTACTTCCTCGTGACAGGTATGTCAATGCTAGCTAGGTAGGAAGAGACGCCATGAATGACAAGAGGTTTTAGGTGCTAGGAAAATGTCGAGAGAGAAGAGGTGAGGTTGAATAGAAGAGAGAGTGCTGTTGTAAGTGGGTGAAATCTGATTTCTTGAAGGTGGCAGCAATGCAATTTATTTCATAGAAGTGCAACCGTATTGTAATCCGAAAAATTGTACATGCCCTGGCAAAGTAAATTTGCGCAGCCAAAGAAGTGCTACCGTATTGTAATCTGAAACGTTGTTCATGCCCTTGCAAAGTAAATTGCCACTCTATACATCAACATGTCGAATTTCGGAAAGAATTTGACAGTGAAAGGAGTTCCCTTTTCCTTACTGAGCTCGAATACAATGCATACGCCCTCGATTCTCGGAAGGCCTAGCTCGGCCAACTTCTTCGATCCCGAACCACTTTGAGCACCCAAACCTTGACGCGTTGCACTTCCGTAGCTTTCGCCAACCGAGCCGCCCAAACCTGTTCACGTGGTCCTCGGCTAGCTCTGTTCGTGCCTGCAAATGCCTAGGTCCTCATTTGTATCGACATCTTGTATCATGTGTGTTTTATTATACTGCCCGTTATTACTCTGATTAATTCATAATCGCTGGTATCAGAGCTCCTTTACTGCCCATTTAGCCTTTCCTGGAGTAGTCTATTTATATCGGAAGAGGACCCGACAAGATGGGGGGTTGGTCTTTGGTTGGTAGGTGCGCTCGTTAAAGCTCCTCCAACTAGAAGCGTGTGCATCCTCAAATCTGTCAGGTAAAACTTCCAGCATGCCTAACACGCTGGAAACCTCTGCCCGTCGTCGTATTAGGAACGTGTCACATGAGGAGTTTGACGATTTGCAAGCTAGGGCGCCTACAGTGACAACACTACAGGCCCAGCGTCAACAACTCGCTGCGAAGTTCGAGTCGCTACGAAGCGAAGTGCAGACGCTTCGCGACGATAACTCGTTACTTCGCTAGGCGAAGGACGAAATGCATCAAGGGCAGCATGCTACCCGAGACAAAGATGTTGCGAGCGAAGCGAGAGCGTCGCTGACGCCAAAAGCAGCTGAAGAAAGCCACAGCAAACCATGGGCGGCCATTATAAGCAAACCACCCATACCACCACCATTTAACCCGACGGATATGTCCATTCTACTGATTGGGTGGCTGTTCGCTATGGAGATCTTCTTTACGGCAGCTAACATTAATGACATGTCTCACACGTCAATTTACTTGTGTCGCTGCTGGGGGGGCCAGCAGTCGACTGGTGGCACATGCATCTGGATGTGGCCCCGGTAGGGAAGCAACGGGCAGTCAATGGGGAGCAAGGTTTATCAACGGCAACGACATAACCAATCTTGGATCAGCCAAGATTCACACGTGGAAAGCGTGGGGCAAAGCCTTAAAGAGCCATCTCAATCACATATCCATGCGCGAAAATGCTCGCACGGGGCTTCGGATGTGGCGTCATCTGGGAGCTGTTCAGAAGTACGTTCCGTCGCTCCTCCTGCCCGACGATCGAGTCGGAGGCATCAGCGAGGACGAGAAGATTGATCGCTACGTGGGCAGCCTCAAATCGGACATTCAATAAGAAATTGTCATGCATAGCACGCCTATGTTCAACGAAATCCTCATGGCCGATGCATTGAACGCACAGCGCGGAATCGCAAGAGTGGGTTTCTGGGAGGGAAAACGATTTCAAGGCCAGCACCAGCACCCATCAATCAATTACGTGGAGGCGTTTGCAATCCGAGTTTTTATCGGTCGTTGTTTTAACTACAATCAGCCAGGCCACATGGCGTGGGACTGCCAGAAACTGAAGTAGAAATTAGCTAACGACGGAACGCAATCGGGAAATGGAAACAGTCAGTAGCTGATGTGCTGGCTAATGGCTTGAATGTGACGTTCAAAAACCACCAATCCCACCTGGTTATAGTGCCGAGTTGGGCTATCGACCATTCATGGTTGAATAAGGGGGGTGAACCAATTGATCACCCTGTGCTGGTTGAAGGAAGAGTTGGAGACATCCGCATCAAAACATTTGTTGATGGCGGTGCAAGTCAAAGTTTGATGGACATGACGAATGCGAAGAATATGCAACTAAAGTTGGAGAGTTGCATGGTGCAAATTGACGCGCGATTGGTCGTCGGCAATCATCAGCAATTGAGATCCACGCTTCACCTCCAATTTTTGGACAAAACATGGCAACAGCACGTCATACACCTACATGTCCACGGCCTACATCCGGCAATCTAACGAACAAACTGAACACACCAATTAGACAATGGAGCAGCTGATTCACACGACATGCATAGACCCGAGCCAATGGGAAATATGCCCTTCCGTTGATCGAGTTTGCCTACAACAATGCCCCATCTGCCATGACTATTCAGTCGCCATTCTTCCTCAACTATGGGATAGATTCGACAATCCCTCTATCATCACCGATAGAAAATCCGCCTCCCATATCCAAGCAATTTGGCGAAAATATTCGACGGATTTAGCAACAAGCCACCGATGCCATCACCAAAGCCAACTAGGTGGCTAAGTAGCAAGCTGATCGATGCCGCCAAGCCTTGACTGGTGGCCCTAGGCAAATGATCCTGCTAGACACCAAGAATTTGGGAATTCCCTTCCCAAATAAACTACGACCAAGATTTTGCGGACCATTCCGCATTACTTGCATCGTGACACTTGTCACAGCCCAACTGCAATTGCCCACCGACTGGCAAATCTATGATTCGTTCTACAGTGTGTCAGTCTCCTGCGAACGTTTGACTTGAGTGCAACTAATCTCGACCATCAAAATATCAATCCAACGGTCAACCTAATGCCCGAGCCAACGACAGAAGCGACCAAGATTTCCGCTCACCGCAAATGTGGTCGTCGAGATACAGCAGCCATTGATTTCCTCATCTACTGGGTCGATCAAACAAGTGACGACGATCTCTCGGTCCCCGCAGCTATGCTCGGTCATCACAAGGTTTTTTGGGACTATTTACCCCGTTGATGTGTCACGGACATGGGTAGTCTCATCTCGGAATGGGGGGTGGTGTAAGGAAATTCCCTTTTCCTGACTAGGCTCGACTACAACACGTACGCCCCCGACATTCGAAAGACCTGGCTCGGCTAACTTCTACAATCCCGAACCACTTTGCGAACCCAAACCTCGATGTGTGGCGGTTCCGTAGCTTGAGATCACGTTCTAGAAGTTTTCCCATCCCGAATTTTGCCCATCCGACTCGGTTTTGGGCAATTCCTTGGGCAAACTTTGTGGGCAAACTTCATGAACGCCGAAGTTTGCCCATCCGACTTCACAACCTTGCGACCAGTTCGACGAGCCCCAAACGACAAAAAGCGAACAGACGAAGTTCGCGCCAAGCGAGGAAGCCCCAAACATAATCACGTGCTCAAGACGCGATGAAATCAGGAGTCGCAAACGTCAAACCCATCTGACGCCCAACCGGGTGTCCAAGAAATCCAACATGTGGCTGTCCTTTGTTGGCTTGACCTCAATTGAAATCTTGCCATATTTGACGGCTCTTGGAGATGGTGGGATTTCCAGTTGCCCCTGCCAAGTTTTTCCGGCCGTGTGGGTTGTTGCGGTAAGGTTTCGTGACGACCAGGCGTCAAATCGTGCTGGAGTGGGACACAACAGTGCCAACTCCTGACGTGGGATGTGTTCGCACTTTGTAGTGGGCCCACGTCGCATGCATCCTGGCCGGCCGAAAGCGGGATGGGCACAGTTCTAATCGCATGGGCAAAGTTCGAATCGCGTGGGCAAACATTGAAATGTGTTTTTAGACATTCCGAGCCGCGCGGGGAAATTTCGTAGATGGGCAAACTTCCTGAACGTGATCTTAGCCAAGCGAGCCGCCCCAACCTGGTTGCATGGTTCTCGGCTAGCTCAGTTCGTGCCTAAAGATCAAATGCATCGGCCCTCATTTGTATCGATACTCTTGTATCACGTTCCTTTTATTAAACTACCCGTTATTACTCTAATTAATTCTTTAGCGCGCTACACTGCTAACGCATACACCGAACCTACACAGCACCGAACTTGGTCCTAGCTTCGGTCCAAACGCGTCATCCCGAAGCGCTCCGCGTCTTCCGATGCTTTCTCCGAACTTGTTCAATCACGCGGCTAGAATTGCCCCGGTGTTCATATATCTTGCCTCGTCATTCCATTGTATGACATTCAGTAATTCAACACATCGTTATTCACTTCCGCTCTTGTTATGAATGGGACTGCCGAGTAGCGCGGAGGGCAATGACGAAACTGTGAACGAGTGAATGACAGTAAAATGAAAGACAATACAATATATATAAAGCATAGGGTGATCCTGGACGTAGGATCGGAAGGTTTGGGAAAAGTGTCGAAGGGCCTCGATGTGTCGAATCGAGGTCCGGAAAGGACCAGGAGGCTCGAACTGAAAGGTCTGGAACCCTATCGCTGGTTCGGGACTGTTCGAGTCGTACGCTCTGTAGCAAGCCTCGATAAGGAATTACTCATTCCTTACAGCTCTATTGTGCTTGTTCATTCATAACAGACATTGTTATGAATGGGACTGCCGAGTAGCGCGGAGGGCAATGGCGAAACTGTGAACGAGTGAATGACAATAAAATGAAAGACAATACAATATATAGAAAGCCTAGGGTGATCCTGGTCGTAGGATCGGAAGGTTCGGGAAAGGTATCGAAGGGCCTCGATGTGTCGTAGCGAGGTCCGGAAAGGCCCAGGAGGCTCGAACTGAAAGGTCTGGAACCCTGGCGATGGTTCGGGACTGTTCGAGTCGTACGCCCTGTAGCAAGCCTCAGTAAGGAATTACGCATTCCTTACAGACATGTTATGCTGTGGTAACCCGTATACCAGCAAAGATACAGGCTGCTCATGTTCGACTCGAGACATTTAAAGATCGGACGGACAACGTAAGTCTGGCTTGAAACAACGGAGATCTGTGCCTTGGCTGTCCTTGACCGAGCTTTTGCTGTGGCTCGCCGGGATTTCCCAAGGCGCAGTTATAGCACATGTGGTGGCCCTGGGAGCGCCCATCTCGTGTTGACGAGCGCAGCGCATCTCCGTCAACGTCAAGCCAAGGGCCAGCAAAATCGCCTGGCTTGCCCTTGCCACCCTGGCAAGCCACCGAGGGGCGCACTGGTTTGTTCAACAACAGGTGTTTTTCTGCTGGCGAATGGGATGAATCCTATGCAAGGCCGAAACAGCAAATTTGTCTGGGGCAAGGAACTGAACTGAACTGGCCCGCGAATTTGTCCAGAGAACCATGTTTCGGACTTGCTTGGCTCAAAATTTGCCCAACATGGCTGACCACCTCAACCCCCACCCAACGGCCCCACTAAGCCGACATGGCCAAGTTCTGTACATACTTCCACACAAACGTGTCTAGCTGTGGAGCGAGCGCGATGTAGATGTACATACACACCTTCCCCGCATCGCAAAGCTCAATCCCACGCGCACGCCTGCGTACGTCCCCGTACGGTACGAGACGACACGGCGACACTAGACCAGACAGACTGGCCAGAGGAAAGGAATCGAATGCAAGACCAGACCCAGACCAGACTCTGCGCCTCGACTCGACTGAGCCGTCGTCGTCACTCTCACGAGGCTCGATCACACCAAATTCAGACCGCCTTACCCATGATTCGATTCATTCTGCATCCCATGACCTACTAGTGCATCCCATGTTCCCATCCTACCCGCCTACTACTACTAGTAAAACCGCTCGACCTGCCAGGTTCTTCTTAGCGACCCGGGCGGGTGCTTCTTAGCGACTGCTGCAACCGCCTACTACCTACTCATCTGGCAGCCACGGCTTTGCGTGCCGCACCTCCAGCCTGAGGCTCCTCATCCCGCGTGGATCGTACTGCGAATCGAAGTAGAGTTCTCCAGATCCGGAAAAAAAGTGGGGTGCTGTGCGGCGGCCCCATCGAGGTAGCGGTTCTTTCTTCTTCCCTTTTTCATTTTCCGCGCGAAGTTCCGCGCACGTTCAGTGAATGTCTATATTCTGGGCTCCGCGCCTCAGCCGACTCTTGGGGAAGCCACCGTTTCACCCGAATAAAAGCTCGATCTCGCGATGTTCCCTCATCCTCTCCGTCCTTCTCCTCTCCGCCGCCGGCGCGAGTCCTGCGATTCCCATTGTAGCCGCAGCAGCCCAGCCCCGCCAGCCCACGACAGCGCAGCACGCCGGCTATCGCACGGATGATGCTACTTCGACTTTTTTACCTACCGGGCTCGTCCGCGTGCACCCGACTTCCGGAAACTTCCGCGACTCCCTCTCCCAAACGACCGTCAATAGCGGCACGGGGAACAACGATACGCTGACGTCATCCGTCAGCCGCGCCGCGGAGTTGACGCGCCGCCGCCAGCGGCGGCAGGGACGGCGGGAACGACAGCGTCAGAAACCTTCCGAGTCGTGGAGAAATGGGTCAGGGAATCGCTGGAGGCATAGTCTATATGGTGGAAGTCCTGGGATGAGCTACCATGGAGGGCCTATAATGAGCTCGCCTATTAACGTGTACATCGTGTTCTACGGGTCGTGGAGTCGCAAGGACCGCCGAGCTGTCAACGCGTTCGTGGAGTCGGTTTCGGACAACTCGGTTAACCCGACCGGTGTCGCGAGCGTGCGAAGGTGGTGGCGAACAACGAGCCTGTACACCGGCAAGGGCGGCGTTACAGTAACGTCGCAGGTGCGGCTGGCGAAATCGGCGGTGGATCGGTACTCGCGGGGGAGGCTGATGAAGAACGACATGGACGGCGTGTGGCAAGGTAAGCAGTCTTTTTTATGCCCAACTCAAAATACACAAGGTACGTAGGCCGTTGGATTCACAGACTGATTCGCGTGTGAGTTGGGCCGGCGGTGGGTCGGTACTCGCGGGGGAAGCGGATGGAGAACAACATGGATGGACGGCGTGCGGCAAGGTGCGTAGGCGTCGGATTCACAGACTGATTCACGCCTAATTTGGTTTGGCGGTGGTTCGGTATTCGCCGGGGAAGGCGGCTCGTCGGATGAAGAACGACATGGACGGCGTGTGGCAAGGTGCGCGCACGCACGCAATCTGAGCCGCAGCGTCTTACTGATACATGAAAAGCATGAAGACACTCACTTCTTGCACCTCACAACTCCGCCCAAATCCTCCCTACTCCGCCCAACTTCGCCCAACTCCGTCCCGTACAGTTATCCGCAGCCAGATCGATTCGGGTGTTTTCCCCATCGACGCGTCTGGGATGTACGTGGTACTGACGAGCGCGGACGTCCGATTGGGCGACAGCTCCCAAGGCTTCTGCGGGCCGCAGGGGTACTGCGGGTGGCACTCGACCGCGTCGAATGGGCGGAGCGAGCTGAAAGTGATTCACGTGGGGAACGGGGGTCAGCAGTGTCCTCAATATTGTGTGCCTTCTTATAACACACGGTGAGGGGTGAGGGGTGAGGGGTGTGAACGACGGGTTTCTGTGAAGAGCCATCATATGCTTATGGGCATGGGATCACGTGCAGATGATCTGGGTGTAGATTGGGTCAAATTACTGAAACGAGAGTGTAGCTGGATGTGTTAGGATTGAGCAGCATTTCCGTTTATCAGGTTCTGTATCAACGTCTACCAATCTTCATTTCTCTTTCCTTCTGTCCCCTCATCCCCCGGTCTCCCCCTTCCCCCCACCCTCTCCTCCCCCTCTCCTCTCCTTAAGGCAGCTCATCTCCCAACGGCCTTCCCGCGCATGGGATGGCCGAGACAGCCACCTCTTGCTACATCAGCATCTACTCAATTCCCTTCTCACTCCTTCTGTCCCCTCCCCCACTCCACTCCCCTCCACATCCCTCCCCTCCCCGCAGCTCATCTCCCAACGGCCTTCCAGGGTTAGACGGACTGATAAACACTCTAGCCCATGAGATGGCCGAGACAGCGACCAACCCCCTTATAGACAACGGCTGGTTCGATATAAGCACCCTAGAGGAGATTGCGGACAAGTGTGCGCGGCTGTACGGGCAGAAGGGCAAGGAAGTGGTGTTATCGAATCAGGGATACGCCTATAACGCCGTGGGGAAAGGAGGAACACATTTTCTGTTGCAACAGGCAAGAAACCGAGCTTTTACTCCGTCACCCTATTGTCTGTTGTCATTTCTTGTGCTTGTGTCATGTGTCACCTACATTGTAGAGTCAGCCGCTCTGCTTTCTTCTTGCTGCTCTACTGTTGTTCGTGCCCCTATGCCAGCCTATCACTGTGACTGTATGCTCACTTCTTGCTTTCCAACGTGTACGGGGAGGAGGCGAGGTGGGAATGTGGGAAGGTGGGACGGGGGTGGAGGTGATTTGGGATCTGTGTGTTGGTATGAATGTGTGATAGTGTGCATTCTCAAGTGTTTTTTTACGCCACAATTGATGTGATATTTCTCGTTTATTCCATCGTTACGTGTGTGTTGCAGCTTTGGAGTCGCCAGTCTCGTCAGAAGTGTGTTATGCAAGGTCCTGCCTAAACTGCCAAAAAAATAACCCTACTGAATAAAGGTTGCGCACTATACGTGTATTTTTAATGGCAGTAACAGAGAACCAGAGAACGCAGGCACACATCATCACCATCTGGCTCTTGTCACATGTTTTGACACCTGCACCCATTCTTATTCTTATCCTTTTATAAGGTATGTCAAAGTGGAACATTCAAGCCACCTGGTGGATACGTTTCTTCTACCCGCTTTCGACCATTGCCTTCTCTGCAGCCCATATCTGGGGCCACTCATCCTCAAACGTCCCTTTTCCCCAGGCCTGATCCCGAAGACATGCTGCCACTGTTAAAGTGAAAAGTGTTACCGTAACTAGAACAAGACATACAAGGGTATATAACCTAATGGGTTGTACTCCCTAAGGCACAACCATATACAGTTTACAGTAACATACAATATGTTTGACACTGTCAGAAACCCAGTCACTAACCACTGGATTAAAAGGGCTTGTTGAATAGCGGGTAAGTGCGCCCATAGCCCCCCAGTCTCTGCACCTGTGGCCCTTCCCTGAGGATCTCAAGGGCAATCCCAGCGGGTCACTCAACAGACACACCCCCTAGACTGGATAGGGGCAGTGCCTGATGAGAGAGAAACAGCTCAGGGTGGCACTACTAGTCCAGCCTCTGAGGCAGGGGTCTAAAGACCAGTCAAACAAGTACAGACAAGGCAAGAGCAAGACCAGGGTGGCACTACTAGTCCAGCCACTGGGAAGAGGCCAAAAGGCCAGTCTGGGTAATATATATAAAGATCAGTAACAATCAAGGTCCTAGCAAGTGAGAGGCTTGAGGAACAAGACCTAGCTGTACACAGTGCCGCTGATGATCTTTAGGCGCAAGCGCCTTAGTAAAGATATCAGCTGTGTTGGCACCTGAGGCCAAGTGAACTACGCGGGCCTGGCGGCGCTGCTGTAGCTCGCGCAGGAGGAAGTACCGCAGCTGGATATGCTTCGCTCTGCCCTCAAGCCGAGGCTCCTGACACAGGAGTATCATGGCCCTGTTGTCAGCGTACAGGACCGGGGCAGAGCTAGGCCGCTCACCTAAGTCAGTGAGCAAGAAGGTCAGCCAGCGGAGCTCCTGTGCCGCCATGGCACCAGCGTAGATCTCAGCCTCACAGCTAGACTGAGCCACAGACGACGAGCGAGTGGATCTCCAAGAGATAGCACCCGAACCAAGGCTGAAACAGTAGCCCTGCGACGACCTGAGCGTCTCAGCGTCGTCTGCCCAAGAAGCGTCTGTGTGCCCGGTAAGGACCACTGGTCTCCGTCCTCCTAGCACTAGCCTCATGCCCGATGTACTTGCTAGATAACGCAAAACCCTCTTAGCTGCTGACCAGTGCTGTGGTCGGTGTCTGCTTGGGGCCACAAAGCAAGCCAGGATGCTGAGAGGGTATGCGAGATCTGGACGAGTGCAAGTCATCAGGTACATGAGGCAACCCACCAGCTCTGCGTAAGGACCACTAGGTTCTACAGCCTCCTTTGGGACTGGGGCAGAGAGTCTGTGGTCTACTGGCACAGCGGTGGGCTGTGCGGAAGAGATCTGAAGGCCGAACCACTGAAGGACCTGGTGTCACAGGATCGAATGTGTCGAGGAAAGGTTGCACTATCGATCAGTACAAGGCGCTTTTATACTTCTAGAGTACATCAGGTAACCAGGTTTATCTTATCCTAAGGGAATAGACCCTTCTAGAAGATAGAATCACCCTGCGTATAACCACGCGAGGCTATTGGCTTTAAGAGATTACGGCAGGATTACGCTAGATAGCGTGTCTAGAACATTCCATGCCGGGTCGGTGATATAGTAATAAGAAAGGAAGAAACCAAAGGATAATGGAAAATGGGGAATATGAGGCAAAAGGAGGTGAGATAAAAAGAGGAATGAAATGAAGATGAAATATGGAAAAGGCCAAGTGGTGTAACGGAGTCGTACTCTCACACTTCCCCCCCTCAAAGCTGGGTGGTAGAAGTAACACCCTGCTTGACAAGGTAGTCATGCAGAGGACGACGGGCGTTACCCATGTCGGACTCAGGTACCCAGCTGTCCTCAGAAGGATCATAACCCTTCCAACGGATAAGAAGCTCCACGGTGCCATTCCGACGACGGCGGTGTGCAAGCACGGACTCGACCTCGTACTCGGGTTCATTTTGGACGAGGACGGGTGGCGGCGGCGGCGGTTGGCGTCCGACGAAGATCGTATTAGGATCTCGATAGGGCTTCAGAAGTTGGACATGGAAGGCGTTGTGAATCTTCCAGGTAGCTGGTAGGCGTAAGCGGAAGGTAACAGGAGTGACCTGTGCTTCAACGAGAAAAGGCCCGCAGAAGCGAGGTCGAAGTTTAGATGGGAGATGGCTGATGTCCAGGTTGCGGGTGTCGAGGAGCACCTGGTCTCCCACGGAAATGGTGTGGTCGTTGCGATGGCGATCGGCCTGGCGCTTCTGTTGCTGTTGAATGTCAAGGAGGCGCTTATGGGTCCGATCCCAAAGTTGATGCATGGTTGTGATGAAGTCGTGTGCGGGTTGGACTGTAGGTGATGCTGTCGGTTTCTGTGGTGTGAGTGGGTGGCGTCCGTAGCAGAGGAAGAACGGCGTCTGTCCAGTAGCGGCATGTGTAGCATTGTTGTAAGCAAACTCGAGAACGGGCAGGTGCAAGTCCCATTTGGAGATGTCGTCTTTGCAGGCTGCTCGGAGGAGTTGCTCAACAATTTGGTTGAGGCGCTCGGTCTGTCCGTCTGTCTGCGGATGGTATGCGGATGACATGGCGAGTTTGGTCCCGAGAAGAGACATAAGTTCCTTCCAGAACCTGCTAGTGAACTTGGGGTCTCGGTCGGAGATGAGTGTAGTTGGGATGCCATGCTGTGAGATGATGTGACGAACGAAGAGCTGTGCTGTCTCCTCGGTACGTGCCGTCGTGTGTGTCGGGATGAAGTGTCCCATTTTGGAGAACTTGTCAATGACGACAAGGATGGCGTCATGACTGCTGGAGGTAGGTGGTAACCCGGTGATGAAGTCTAGGCTAACCACTTGCCATGGTTGTTCTGGGACAGGAAGAGGCTGCAGTAGTCCCGCCTTTTTCTGCTTGCTGCTCTTCATCCGCTGACATGTATCACACGAGGTGACGAATTTCTGGACGTCGTCTGCCATATGGGGCCAGTAGTAGTGTTTGGCGATACCGGTGAGCGTCTTGTTGCTACCGAAGTGTCCGGCGTACAGGACGTCGTGGTATTCTTCGAGTAGTAACTGGCGCAAAGGAGGGTAATTGGGTACCCAGATTTTTGTGGATCCCTTCCGGTACGCGATGTCACTGTCCCACTGTAGCAGATGTCGCTTTTCTGCCAAGGGAATTTCGGGGTCGATGGCGTACCCGTGGGTGAAGAGTCCCTTGAGTAGTGGATTCATCCCTTCGACCTGAATCGCGGCAACGTGTGCAGGCCGGCTGAGAGCGTCTGCTTTGTTCTTGTGGCCGGGCTTGTACACGATGTCGTAGTGGAAGTGTGTCTCGAGGAAGTCGATCCACCGGACCTGCCGCCTGGAAAGGTTGGGTTGTGTCTTCAAATATTTCAGGCTGCAGTGGTCGGTGTAGACGGTCGTTCTTCGTCCTTCGAGATAGCATCTCCACGCTTTGAAGGCGATGATGATAGCAAGAGCCTCTTTGTCGTGTATCGGGTAGTTGAGTTCTGCCCCGTGCAGTTTCTTGCTGAGGTAGGCAATTGGTTGCAGTCCATTCCCCTGGTCTTGCATTAAGACTGCTCCCACTGCCTGGTCGCTGGCGTCAGCTTCGATTACGTAGTCGCGTTCGGGATCTGGCAAGATGAGCACCGGTGCGGACGTTAGTGCTTGTTTCAGCTGCTCCACGGCTTCCTGGTGCTTCGTCTCCCATTTGTAGGGCGTGTTCTTCTTCAGCAGATTCGTGAGTGGTGCCGCGAGTTTCGCATATTGTGGCACGAACCTGTTGTAGTAATTAGCGAAGCCTAGGAACTGCTGCAACTCCTTCACGTTCTCGGGTGTCTTCCACGTACGTACGGCTTCGATTTTCTTGGGGTCGACGTGAACTCCTTGAGCGCTCACCATGTGGCCTAGAAATTGGACCTTCTCCAGGGCGAATTCGCTCTTGGACAGTTTGACGTAGAATCGTTCTCGTCGAAGAATTTCGAAGACGCGTCGCAGGTGTTCGACGTGCTGCTTCATGTCGCGCGAGTAGATGAGTATGTCGTCCAGGTACACCACCACGCATTCGTCCAGAAGTGGTCGTAGAATGTGGTTCATTTCGGCTTGGAACGTTGCCGGTGCGTTGGTGAGTCCGAACGGCATGACCAAATACTCGTACGATCCGTACCGAGTTCGAAAAGCAGTTTTGTGGATAGAGTTGTCCGCCATCCGTATCTGCCAGTATCCGGACCGCAGATCCAGTTTGGAAAATACCGTGGCTCCCCGAAGCTGGTCAAGCAGGTCATCGATTCGCGGTATCGGATATTTATTCTTGATGGTCTGCTTGTTAAGAGCTCGGTAGTCGATGCACATGCGCAGGCTTCCGTCCGGTTTCGGTGTGAAGAGTACTGGGGCACCGTATGGCGAAGTAGATGGTCGGATGAGTCCTTTGGCTAGGAGATACTCGATCTGCTTCTTCATGTCGGTCAGCTCCGTAGGGCTGAGCCGGTATGGTGCTCGGAAGGTCGGCTTCGAACCCGGTTCCTCCACGATCTCGTGTTGATGCGTTCGGTATGGCGGTAGCTCGTTCGGAAGATCGTCAGGAAGAATGTCTTGGAACTCCTTCAGTAATTCCTTGATTTTTCCTGGAGTTTCCGAGGCTTTCTCTCCGTCATTCTCCACTTCTGTTGCTATCGCCAGGAACCCGGTGTCGGTCCGCTTCACATCCTTCTCGAATCGTGCGAGTGTCTCCACTGGGATATCTCCAGTATCGTCCCAGTTGGGTAGCTGTACTCTCCGTCCATTGTTGTAGATGCTTGCGGTGCGGTTCACCCAGTTGATCTCGGGGTTGAATTTTTTCAGGAAGTCTCGCCCGAAGATCAAGTCAAGCCCTTTGATGTTGGTGATGGGGAGTGCAGGTCTCCAGCGCAGTGGTCCGATTTGTAGATGTAGCACTGCTTCGCCGTGTACTGGTAACTTGCTGCCGTCCACCATCGTTGCAGAGAATCCTGAAGGCTTGTACTCTTCCCGG